AGAATACATCTACTTACCAAGTTTCAATAGTATAGTTCTTATAGTTACGGAAAAAAGTGGCTGTGACATACGGACAGACAGACAGACAGACATGACGAATCTATAACCTTTTTGTGCCATTTGGCTACGGAACCATAAAAACAGTTGATTTTATATTTATGAAGCTAGCAGTCAGTAGACCCATGAGATATTTTAGAAATGGATCAAAATTTTCCCGACTGTTAAGAGCCCTATCACATTTTTTTTGCAAAAAATCGTAATGTTTGAGCGCCTCAATCTCAATTTTCAATAGAAGTAAACAGTAGATTTATTCTTCCTATTGTAAGTTGAAGTAGAATATTTGCAAATACTATTTCCCTTTTTTTGTACTGATCGTTCTACTGCAGCTAATTTATAGAAAAAACGATAATATGCTCAACTTCAAACGCTTTAATCTCTCAATAATATTCAATAAATTAGATCAAATTAATTACTACGACATCAGAAGTATGTTTTTGTTCCAACATAATGTATTAGAATTTTGATTTTTCGTCTCATTAATTATCAAAAAAACATCTAACCTCCGTGAGTTTTCCCCAAAAATAATGCAGGTTTACCTCGTATTTTGATATTGAATTTAATAGAATTACTATCAAAAACTTCCATAAAACTAATCTACCTTCATTGAACTACTGAAATCACTACAGAAATTATAATAAGTTCATTAATGATTATTTTATAAGACTCGAAACATCACCCGTAAAATGCAATATATACTACTGCACATCTTCCTACGCGCCGATCAGTACGGCAGCGGCGCCATATTGTAAAAGGGCTCTTAAAGTATCTTTGTTCCTTACTTAACATAATTAAAGACTACTGGACTTGTTTTTTCTTTTCAGTTTTCACTTAAAGCAATTTTTAACCAGTCAGATTTTGTTTCTTACTCCTGATTTTACGTCAGGAACAGGAAATACCAACAGCGAACAGAACCTATTTCCAAAATGAACTGAAAACTACTAAACCAAAGAATAAGTCACGGAAACTATATGTACAGCTGGATTACGTCGTAAACCTGTGCTTATATCGGCAAATACCTGCTAAGTTTACCCTAGTTTCGGTTGTTCAGCTAACTGCCCGTTTTGCAACAATGTAGACATTAGGGTACAGGAGAGTAAGTCGCCAATCAAGATAAAACGGTATCGTAACATAGCGTAAATAACGGAAGTCCTCCCAAAGTAGATCTTACCTAGGCAAAGCAAAGCAACGAGTCGTGTAATTAAACTGTAAATAAAGCTCACACCCAGTGTTTATTATTAATTAGATACTATTTACGTCAACAAAACTGTGTTGGTTGTTGGGCTCTGTAGGTAATTATCTTATGTTGATTTCGTAAAGTAACTATGTACATAAATTTAAAGTTTTTAGGAGGTTGCTTTAGGAGGAACATTTCGAATTCTTAAGTATTATGTACTTATAGAACGAAAAGACCCCGTTAGGAATGAATAAATAAAAAAAATAAAAATAACATTGTTTTATTTCTTTACCATACAATATCTGGTTACATAGATAAAGGTAGCCTCTTTTTTTAAGTGTAAAGACACCTGTACCAAAAAGAAACCACTCATCCATAGCATGAGTTACATTATGGTAAGGTCATTCGTTTCATTATGTTAAGAATGATTGCAGGGTTCCTGATTATGATTTCCGACATAGCTATTTTCAGTTTATCGAAGAGAGGAAAACCAATTTGTCAACCGCACGCACGAGGGACGGCCAAATTCCCTTTTCTCTTGCGAGTGTGGACGGTTTCCGTCTTGTCTCTGTCAACAAAGCCTCGCGTGTGACCCTTTAGAGCCCTAAAACCTTAGAGCATGTATGACCTTGTTGTAGACGCCTAAAACTAATAATTTAAATTTCCTGTTTATTCAGGACGATACCTTATCTTGAAGGTTCTTCGAAGTCATTAAAAAACAACAGCCTGTACCACCTTGAAAACTGAATTGGAAGTAAACTAAAAGTATGTACAAACTAAAGACCTTATAAAACCAATATTTACTACCACCAAAAATCGTGTAGATCAAAATAAATTCAAAATCTAAATATATAATACACAGATAGAACTCCCAATTTATAATATTAATTGTTGTAATATTTTATTGTTTCATTATTGTATGTATAATTCAATGATAGGTACTTATTATTACTTGTACATTATAGTAAATAAATATTTCCAGCACTCATACCAATTAGCCTAGCTCCAAATAGTCCAGTCAATGAAGGTTTTCACCTCCGATTTCGTTGAATCTTCATCGATTTTCATAAAAATTGGTGAGTAGGTGGGGGATATCTTAAGAAACAAAAGTGACATAGTGCCAACTTGCGCCTTTGTCCTGGGGGTAGATGCCAGCCCTTCTCGGGGAGAAACTTATTTTAATAAAATTAACTGCGGGAATCGATAGAGAGACAAATTCTTAGCAATTTTTTTTATATATAGTTTTTGGAATAAATCAATACTTTCTTATAGACAAAGAAAGTATTGATTTATTCCAAAGATTGTGATTTTTCGTGATAAAAATACATATTTAAAGCGTTTTTTCATAAATAACACAAAAACTATGAGCATTCACAAAAAAAATACAAAATTGAAATAATAAAAAAACAAACCCCTACTTTGAAAAACCTAATATTAATTCAAAGTGAGCGTATAGGTAATTGTATGTATATTTTTTCTTGCGAATACTTAAATCTAAGTATTCAAACATAAATATCGGGAAACCGATGCATTTTATGACATACTTCCTGAACACGTTTTAGAGTCCTCAGAGATATTTGTAATGAGGACTGTAAAAAGTTAATAGCATCAAAATTGAGCAAGTTATGATAAAAATAAGACGATACTTTCGAATTTATTTGGAAAAAACTAAAAAATAAAACTTTCACCATTTCCACAAAAAATCGAATTTATGGTTATCCCTAAAGGACTTTCTTTTTATTAGCATAAGTGAAGACCTCTAAAATTTTGCCCGGTTTAGAATGCTTTTTTTTTAAAAAAGTATAATTTAATAAAATCAAAAATTTTCATAATTTAGTAAATTTCATTTTCTTTTGAAAATAAATTTCGAAAAAATATATACATACAATTACCTATAAGCTCACTTTGAATTAATATTAGAAGGTTTTTCAAAGCAGGGGTTTGTTTTTTTTGATTAGGTTAAATTTTTGTGATATTTTTTTTTTAATAGCTCATAGTTTGTGTGTTATTTATGAAAAAACGCTTTAAATATGTATTTCTATCACAAAAAATCACAATCTGTATTAACTCAGAAAGTATTGATTTATTCCAAAAACTTTATATAACAAATTTTGCTTAGAATTTATCTCTCTATCGATTCCTGGTGTTATTTTCTCGACGACCTCCGTAGCCGAGTAGTTTGTACGCCGGGTTTCATGGTGTCGCCGATACGAGAGGTCCCGGGTTCGAATACCGGTGGGCAGATGTCTGTGTGATGAATACGACCATTTGTACTCCAGTCATATCCATGACGTTTAATATGTATTTCTATAAAAATATACTTATATATGTACAGTATATGTTGTATCCTATCCGTTACCCTAGCATCCCATAATACAAGTCTTACAGTGCTTACTTTGGGGCTAGGCTAATTGGTGCGATGTGTTAGAAATATGTATTATTTTTATTAAAATAATTTTCACCCCCGAGAAGGGGTGGCATTTACCCCCAGGGCAAAAGCGCAAGTTGGCACTATGTCACTTTTGTTTCTTATGGTATCCCCCACCAACTCACCAATTTTCATGAAAATCGATGGAGGTTCAACGAAAGCGGAGGTTGTAGCTGATATAGGCCTTCATTGACTGGACTATAAATAAGCACTATAGACTTGTGGTATACTAGGGTAACGGATAGAATACATATACTGATACATATATAAGTATATTTATATAGAAATACATATTAAACATCCATGACTGGAGCATTTTTACTCGTATTCATCACACAAACATCTTCCTCCACCGGGATTCGAACCTGGGACCTCTCGAGTAGGCGGACACTTTGAAACCCGGCGTACAAACCACTCGACCACGGAGGTCGTTCATTATGGGAATAAAGAGGCTATATTATTATTATTAGATAGAACTATGAATGTACAACGCCCACCAAGATACAAACTGCTATCCACCAAAGAAACACCATCCAAAACTTGAAATATCATTTAAATGAACGGTTTAATTACTGTACTGAACAATTTATGATGCGCCTAGGATTTTAAAAAGCAAACGTTTAGAGAAAGACTTCAATCGAAGAACCCTGCAATTTGTGAACAGACGGCCCATTGGTCGCCAAATCAGGCGTCCACATAATTAGAATCCTCAAGCAATTAGCTCACATCTACAACGCTAACATCCATTTCTTCTAAGGCGCATTGCAGACGGCGGGGCGGAGCGGGCCGGTCAATTTCGCCGGCCGGCGGGCACTGGCGGCACGGCATGTCCGCGACTGCCCGCCGTGGATCACACATACCAGTTTATATGCAGTAACGCAGACGGCGGCGCGGGGCGGCTAGCTCTCTCCGCGCTACGCGCTTTTTAGTGATGGGACTATTCACTAGAACGAACGTCCTGAACTGACCGCCTCTGCCCGTCGTGTGCTTTGTGTATGTGGCGAGGGCAGCCGCAGACATCGACAGGCAGACGCGGTTTTTATTGCTTCGCGGACAAAAAGCCCGCCCCGCCCCGTCGTCTGCAAAGCGCCTAAATCTACAAATCAGCTCTGTGTTGTTGTAACGAGCAATTTAACAAAATAATTGGCACTCGGTTCATTTCGGGAGTGCTTCATTATTCAGGGAGCATTTCAGAAAAGGTTAATTACCTACGCGAATTCGTTCGGCGCATGGGCAATTAACCCTGAAAAATTGGTTTTCAAATTTTTAATCCTACTGTGATGGGGTTATTTCCACTTTTGAGAACTACTACTAAGGTACATTGAAATGAAATACATGTATGCATCAAATAATATTTATTTCGCCGTCCATCCTTACGAACAATTCTCTTAACAAAATATCTATGAATTCAGTATCAAGAAGCACTAACTTGAATTCTTTCCAGTACATAAATACTCTGTTTGTGCTGAATTATAATGTTTTAATCAACTGCAGTCTACAGACCCTGGGGGGTTACTTTCTACATTCGCAAACAAATTCACATAAAAATATTCATAATATAACTTGAAGCCTATTCAGTTTAAAAACATCCTTATGCGAATTGGAAAACAATATCAATCACTCAAATATTTGAATTTTTTCAATTATCGCGTCGAAAATATAATTATAAGTAAAAAATATCCGCATATATACGAAAACAGAACAAGTAAAATATTTGATTAAATTCATATTATTATAATCCGCAGTTAAGATTAATATGTTATTGTTTACAGATATTCCTATATTGTATTATATACATATGGCATAAAACCATCAGTTGTATATCCTAAAACAAAGACTGTATTTAAAATTTCATTTCTGTTTCGACAATTTCATTATTTCAATATCAAGCTTATGTTTTTAGGATAAGCAACTAATGTTTTAGGTATTTGCTAAAATATATACATATTAAAAATGTATTAGTTATACAATAAAATATCTATTACAATATTATTGCTATGCTTCTGTTCTGTTGTTCATACGTTAAATTACACTACTGAGGTCACCTTCGTTTCAGAAACTAAACCACAATGAAATCCATTGAGATTAATCATGAATTGTATGAAGGTGTTTGTCGAATCACTTTGTTCATCCGAACTGTAAGATGCATTGATTTGCGATATATACAAATTGGGTGTTTCATAACGACTTTATCTGTGACACTAGCAGAATAGTTATTTTATTAACACCTCCTCGATCTAGTCATGTGTTTCTATCTAGCGGGACCACTCGAGCTAGACTTAAAAAAGTAGTTGTATTACTTTGCTTGTTCAATGTACCTCATGGATTTATTAACAAGGTTCAATTTACCTCAATCGTTTAGATAGAAATTACGATAAATCGGCTTTATTACGCTCGGAGTACTTAAAAATTGCTGGATGAATGAGGTGATTTATCGTAATTACCCGTTATAAAATTGTTGAGGTAAATTTAATCTTGTTAATAAATACATGAGGTACATTGAGCATGCAAAGCAATACCACTCCTATTTTAAGTCTAGCTCGAGTGACCCTGCTAGATAGAAACACACGACCTAATACACAGTTATAGGATTACAAAGATAACACCATCTCGATATGTCTTACTAAAACATACTAGAACACAGCAGTAAAGAGCACCCTGTTGTAAAATGAAACATGACGTACTAAATGTATTCCATAAAACTTAAGCAAACTAGAGTTCATTACGAAACTATTGTTATGAACCTTATCTTCGAGAGCAATTTCATTATCTCAATATCAAACATTGATTGGTTAAAAAACAAAAATCTCAATCGTACATTGTCAGACTTGGTAAAAATGCAATGACTGCATAGAAGTTCATATCGAATTCTTTTACTAGATAATTGTCACGAGACGAAGCTCACTTCGTAGTGACGAAGGATAAAAAATATACAATATATAAAAAAAAACATCACCTTAAGCACTATGGCATTATGGTTAACCATTTGTTAGTAAAATATAGGCATTAACGCAAGCATAGTATAGTTTAAACCAGCGTACAGAAGTATTAGAAATTCTCATTTTATGTTTGATTTTTTGCGATACCTCTATGGGTCTCACCAGAGTCAAATATTTTTAGCTTAGCTCTTACTGAGAGCAAAGTCCATAACGCTTGTCATAAACAAGCGTTTTTTTTTTCTTTCAAATCGAATCAGCATGATATAATTTTGGCAGTAATTCAGTTATCGAAAGTTCTCTGGACTAACTCACGGTACCTGCTCATACTTTCAACAAGATAAAAATCGCTAAGACTGTAGAACCTCCCGAAGAAATATTGTAACCATTGTATACACAAAAGCACAATACTTTTAGCTATGACAACCCAACGTTGAACGGCGACGAGACTACGATTATGGGTGTATTCCGTAATATATACCAGTATACTGGCCAGTGCCAATGACGCCATGAATCGACACTATACTGGTCAATTGTATCGAAATATAGTGGCCAGTGCACTGACGTCATAAATCGAAGAAAATTAAAGATAGTGCGAATAAAGAAGATTTTTTATTCACCTCATCAATTAAAAGAAATTCTTTTTGTTCGGACGCCATTATTGTTCTTTAAATAAAAAAGAAAAAAAATTGAATGCATCTCACGCACTCTCAGTCATACGTCATATTCGTTTTCCCGGTGAAAAATATGGTAGCATACCAGTACAATATGGCGTCGGATTCGTGACGTCATTATCACTGGCCAGTATACTGATGTATATTTCGGAATACACCCAATAACTCGACCAATCACGACGTCATAATTATGAGCTGTGATTGAAAGACTATATTACCGCAAATGTTACTCCATGTACAGAGAGTCACGCTTTGGTCTAAAGTATCAGTTTTGAATAGTTATGTCAGTGTCAAAATGTATGGCGTAACAATTATATATCCAATAATTTGTTAATTGAATGGTATGCTTATTTTCACTATATTATTAGTATCTCCTATGATTGGTATATGAGAACGAGAGGACAGTGAAAATAGCATAGACGTAGGCATCGTTCGGTTGTTGTTATAAAAACATGCTCGAAACTTTGTATATAATAACTTTTGAGCACTTTATAACTGAGCCATTTTGAGCCATTCCTAAACAAAACTGTACTTTAAAATATTTGCTCAAAAAACATGGTCAACCCACAAGTCTTCATTTAAGCGGAATTTAACAACAGTTAGGCTGTTATTTACACACACACGAGATACGCTGTAAAATGGCAGTGATAGAAGATATCTTACTGAGAAAAATGAGTTTTATAATAACTTTATGATATAACTTCACAAAGCAACAGACGATTACATATGAGCAGTATTTGTTTGATAAACTCTAGATCTTAACATTAACCAGGTATATAAAAAAGCAATATCGCACCATATCTCTTTGTGACTCAAATCAACTATGGGATGTACAGTCAACAACACATCAGGCTACCACAATTCCCAAAATGTTCTCTATTATTGATTACGAATCTTATATGAAACAGAATAAAGTTTAAAGTCAGTTGAAAAAAAAAATCTATTATGGGCACTTGACCGGTTTTCGACTGTACCTCATCATAAGTTTGTATCAATAGTGGTAACTTTATTGTCAATTAGTTAAGCTTTTTGTCTATTGCTATGTAAATAAATAATCTTTGAATTACATTATTATGCAGATTTTAATATTCAATATTACTTACATCGATTTACAGAGCCATTTATTATTCCTTTTTAGAGTTATCGGCTGATAAAATTAATGAATACATAACTGTTTTTTCTATTATATAGCGCACGCTACTCATTTTAATAAAAAAGTTCTTTTAAAAGATTAATAAAGCTGGTACATTTAACTTGTGACAAGGAAACCTCGAAAGGTATCTTGGTAAAAAAGTTTTAAAAGCATTTTATTAGATATTTATACAGACAGTCCTCGTCTTACGTCGTTTCGATTTACGTCGTTTCAAGTTACGTCGAACAATGTTTTGACACTATTCCTCAAGCCTACGTCAATTGTTTCGATTTCCGGCATAGGAGAATTCACTTGTCGCGAGGTCAATGTTCGTGGGGCCGGCGTCCGTGGGGATGTCTCGACTTACGTCGTTTCGATTTACGACGCGTATTTCGAGAACTTAACATGCCGTAAGTATGAGGATTGCCTGTATATTAAATAGAATGTTGTTTTGCGCGTACGCCTGTATTAAATGGTATCTCAGAAAGGACGGTAAGATTGTGGATACTTTGAAGGTATGGCAGCGGTAGTAAGACGGGCTAGATGGCGCCACTGTAGTTGCGTATAAGCTTCTACTAGGCGTTCCTCCGCTTCCTTTGATGGTCGTTCTTCTTGGAGCTTCTGTAGGAGTTTGATAGCCCGCCCCCAATGTTTTAGAGTGAAGCAGTGCCATATTCCGAAGTGGATCACCTGGGTAAATAAATATTCAGAATAACGTCAAGTGATAAATATAATTGCTTAATTTACTTAATACGCATATTTCTTTTTTGTAATATTAGCATTTACAAATTTGATGTAACCATGTTTTTGCATTTTTTTTTACTCTGATGTTAAAATATTGACATAGAATATCGTCAACATTGGACATTAATTACACTTGGATTGTAGGTATGGAACGCAACATGTTGTTTCTCCGAGTTTCTTGGCCAGTTCTTTTCGGTGCAATCTCCCAATGTACACTTGCGATCTGACGTCGTAGCTTATTAACTAGAATACCTAAATTAATTAATTTAAGTTTGAGGAGCTCAATAGCACAAGCGCTCGGCTGCGATCGTTGAATTTAAGCAAATTTCGCAGTGGTCAGTCATTGGATGGGTGACCAAAAATTTACTATCTCGAGCTCCTCTTTGCTTCGAAAGGCACGTTAAGCCGTTGGTCCCGGGTGAAAATGCAGTCGTTAGCACCCACCAATCCACACTGGGCGCGCGTGGTGGGTCATAGCCATATTGCATCCATAAGGAAGGCCTGTGCCCCAGCAGTGAGGACATTGATAGGCTGGTGATGTGTGATGTATGTAAAGTTTTAGAACTTACCTTCCCGTCAGTAAGGTCGGTGAACTTGAGCAAATCAGCAGTGGTGGAAGTTAGGGAATCAGCCAGCGATCCGTGGACGCCGCCCGCTAAAGCACAGAGACGGCATATAGCAGTGCCTTTGCGACACAACGCTTCTATCACGTAGCCGCGCTGCTTCTCTTGTTCTCTGTATAAATAAATAATTGTACAGCAACGAATTAAAACCCCCTCAGGTTCGAGTGGTCTAGTGGCTCCAGACGGAGAGAAGAAGGGACTCTCTTCTCCGTCTGGAGCAACACAAACACCTTTCCGTAGTAATAAATAATTGTTCAGCAACAAATAAGAACCCCTCAGGTTCGAGTGGTCTAGTGGCTCCAGACGGAGAGAAGAAGGGACCCTCTTCTCCGTCTGGAGCAACACAAACACCTTTCCGTAGTAATAAATAATTGTTCAGTAACGAATAAGAACACCGCACCCGTAGGTCAAGAGTGCGAAGACCCGGTCTACACACGACACGCTATACCAGGTACAGTTATGTACCTGGGCGTTTTCCCGCGCCCCCCACGACAACGGCTAACTAGAGCCGAGGTCCGAGTCTCAAAGACGTCCTCTAGTTGAGCCGACCCCCTCAGGTTCGAGTGGTCTAGAGGCAGACGGAGATTCCCCCTGTGGGGAGACGCCATCCGCCTGGATTACCTCTAGATGCACTCGCCAATTCTCGGCTTGAGATCCCCTTAAGATCTCGCCCGAAATAGGGATCAAGACTAATTTTCTTTTCAGCCATCAAGTAGATTATCAAAAAATATTGGAGAAGTATTTTTTTTCTTTATTCGCACAATGAAAAAAGTACTAAGATATATTGATTTGAAATGTCGCATGACGTCACGAATTCTACATTCAAAAAACTTTGACGAGCTTTATCTTTGTTATTTTTTGGTTGATTGACAAAAGAAAAAATAAGTGTCCATTATTTTTTGGTAAACTAACGCACCACACATTGCGCGAAACATGACAAGTTTTATTCGCATGGTTTATCTGGATAGAAAATATCATTTGAGTGATGGGGCCAAAACACTTCGTTTATTAATAAGCGAAAGGGGGCGATAATAAGAAGTTATTTCAAAAAAATAAAAAATTCTAGCATTGAATCAAAGAAAATGAAAGTACTCACTGTTTAATTTTGTTGGCATCGCCTCTACTGTCGTTTTTCATACCTAGATACGCTAATAGCTTTTCTTGATCTATCGCTTTCAGAACCTGAATAAAAAAAACATGATATTATTAATAATTAAAAATTTTCATCAGCACCTAGTATATGGTAGCCAATTTATTTTTATTTACATTTTTAGCAGATTATTTTTCAAAAGCCTATAAATTGTCCCTTTAATAAATAATATATACATATATTATATATCTAATAGTAGACATATTATTTATAACATATACAGAATTATATAAGTCTAGTGGATGGGGATGAAATAAACTTGCCCTCAAAATTTTTAGCTAACAAGTTATATCTTTGTCACAAACTTGTCCAAGATATATCTATGCTAAAGTTTATTTATGACGGTTCATCAGTTAGAGTGAAATCGTAACAGAAAGATGGACAGTGAAACCTTTGACTTGATAATAATATCAAAAACGCGAAAATACAGAACACCGCGGGTCGCGACGTGAATGTTCGGTAAGGGTCGAGTAGTGCGGCTCATTCTAATATGAGCCTTATGTAGTTCGGGGTAAGGGAGAAAGTGAAATGATATCTGCACTTGTTTACAACTTATGAGCGTTACCTGCGTATAATAAGAAGGTACTACGCACTCGCGGGTGCCAGTTAACTCTCAATTTTACAGCTTTTTTAGAATGCATTGGTTTGCGTATATAATCGCGATTGGCGTCGCGAAGCAGACTATTTGAGTTTCAACAGCGATTTCGGAACTAATACAAAGGCGAACAAAATGCAAGTGTTTAAATGCGATTGTTTAAAGACTTGTATAGTGAAGTACAGTGTTTAGTGAGTATAAACTGAGTTAACATTGTGTGTTAGCTATGTGGTGAATAAAGTACTGTTAAGCATGAACTGCCATATATTTTCGAACCCCATCCCGACACGTAACAATAGTAAGTAAAAGTAAGGATATCTATTATTACCTTGTCAGCAATGGCGATAATTTTTTCGCACCACGCTGTCGTCACGTCGGGAGCTTCAGTGGCGTGAGGTAACCTGTGATTAAATGTATACTTTAAAGCACTCGCTATATACTGTGTTCACGAAAACGGGTCAGTGGAGTGCTTTCTTTATCATATAACCGCTTACAAAAGACAAAGATGAAGAGCTACGTCACACGGGAAAGAGGGCTGTCATTGGCTGGAGTAATGACAAGAGTACAATACAGCAAAAGACAGAAATTCTTAGCTTACACGGAGTAATAATAAGACAGGTTACAGATGTTGAACCTGCTAGGATAAGGCAGTATAGATTACCTACTTCCATAGCATCATGTCGTGTGGCATTCTATTGTGAGGAACGGCACACATTGGAGTAAAATTTTAATTCTTTAAAAACGAGCTATAAGTCCTATTTATCGCTTGAGATCACAAACTTCTCTTATGTATACAATTTTATAATAACTATTGTCTCAAAATACATTTACAATTGTATAGTGTATGCACGTCAGAACATTAACTTATATGCGAGGCGCGATGACGTAGATCATTTCAATACTAGAAAAAAAAACTTAAAATGACTATTTAGACTCCAAAAGGTTTTTGGTTCATTTGCGGGTCAAGCTATATATTACTATAAAATACCAGAAGAATATAATAAATTCAAAATTTATATCAAAAGTTGTCTCCTTAAGAAGGCTGTTATACTGTAACCCCCTGATTAATAAACTCTGTTCATTGAATGACAATGGCATTTGAGTGATATGACCACATCACGGCGTAACTAGTCTAAGCGTAATCCTTGTTTATTATTATAAGGGGGTAAAATATTACATAAAAGACAAAGTACCTATGGTGTTAATTTTATAAAACTAGATTTTCTTTGCTATGTTGGTTAAAAATCTATTAAGAATGTGATGGAACTTATATGTACACTGCAACAATATTAAAAACTGTAGATACAACGACACGAACAAAATCGTGGCCGAAACCTGTCCAAAAGGTACATTGTACGATCCACGGAGCTGCGTAAGATGATCGCGTAGTCAACTACTATATAAGACATTATTTAAAAATTGGAAGTCACCTTTAACGCATGCTGTATAAGGTCTTAATTAAAAAGCTTGCGTCAATTATTGCTATATGCGGAAGAACATAGACCTTTTCAACGGTCCGCGCGTGACTGTGAACAAATAAGTGCTTGAGTGGAGTAGAAGCACTTCTTGATTGGGAGACATTTTGAGCGCTCTATCTAGGGTATTTAATATCTTTGGTATACTGAAACAACTTACTTCTTAGCATCTGTGGGTGGGTCTAAGGCATGCATGTATGCGATATGCGCCCCCAAGTACCCAGGGAATTTTTCTAAGATTTCTTCGTAAACTTGCTCTAATTTCTCGCCATCTAAGATAAGGAAAAATAATTATTGTTATTAATAATAGTCAATGAGTCAGTCGTGCCTCAATTAGTTGGCATTATTCTATCGAAACACCAATCAGTGTATTCGCATCTTTCAAAAACCTACCGTACTTAAAGATAAAGTGTAAATTTTGGCGAGTGTTTAGCCTATGTATATATATACATATATATTTTATTTTTCCATTTCCATTCCCAGACACTGTGATCGATTTTGCTTTCTAATAATCTTGGACTTAATATTATCTCTTATCTTTGCTCATAAGTATTGCTAACGCGAGTTCTAAATTTATGCAAAAAAACATCGGTAATATATAATCCTCCTCCGGAGGAAATTAATTATAAAAAGCTGTACCTACATTTCCATAATCACACATTGTTTTTTTTGCCTCTCCTGGCTAACAATTACATAAAAACATTACACTCTCTTTGTCGGGCAATCGTGTAAAAACAACCAACTTTTCACTCACCCAGTTTTCCCAGCCAATTGGTGGAGAACTCTTTATAAGCGTCCATGTAATCGTCGCTGGGTTTGGTCTTCTCCTTGTCCTTAGTATTGTTGGGCCTTTTGGGCGGTTCACACACTATGTACTGAAGGCTATAAGAGTCCACTTTACGCCCTAGTTCGTCTTTAGCAAACGTCACCGTGCCCGTTAAAGTGTGCCCTACTGTTAGGTTTGATCGACTGATTCTGAAACAATTAAATAAATAATAAATACTATCTGGTAATATGTGTACGAATAAAGGACAATTTTTTTTTGTTAATATATTTTTTGTCATATTTATTGTATAAAGCGTAAGCTTAAATATAAATATGACAAATAATAATCTAATAATTTAATAATGTATTTCAGTTTCTATAAGGTTTTTAACTATAAATATCTTCCTATTTGTTCTTTAGTTAAATGTACATACATGTATATATTGTGATTTTCCCATCAGAGGAATACTTTAACCTTTTTTAATTACAGCTCATATTATAACGGAAGTAATGTTTACGAATCAACATTTTAAAGAATTACTGTTAATCTATCTATATATGTAAAACTCAAAGGTGACTGACTGACATAGTGATCTATCAACGCACAGCTCAAACCCCTGGACGTTATGACGTAATCATCCGCTAAGAAAGGATTTTGATTTTTTGAATTTGAATTCTACCCCCAAGGGGATAAAATAGGGAATGAAAGTTTGTATGAAACTTCGCATGCAGGTATAAGAAGAATCATAGATGAATATCATTGTGTATAATACAAGCCTGAGAACTGTAGTCAACACTACTGCTCTATACCGAAGCGAAGCGAGGGCGGGCCGCTAGTACTACAATATATGAATAAAATAATTTAATACTCACTTATCGGAAGGCACGGCTGTGAAGTAAAGCGGCATAACGTTCCCACTAGACAGTGAGGCGGAGCTGAATTTCTTGCCGCCGATCAAAGCCTAGATGGAGAAAGATTCATAATTAAACCAATAAACTTTCATTTATTCTAATTAGCGATTATTGATTTGCATTTGTTTCATTATATAAAAGTTACATAACAACAGGCCTAATTTCAGAATTAGGCCTGTTGTTATGTAACGTTTATATAATATACTGTTCTCTGGAGTTAAATCTAAATTTGACAACAATCTCTCATCTTCATTCTGTAAAGTATAGATACGACAAAGGATATAATGTCATATATCTCATTTTAGGTTTAGATTATCGATTAAGCGTACCACTGGTCAGTTTCCGAACTCGTCAATTTCGCTAATTCGCCAGTTTACTCATTAGACGGTTTCGGTAGGTTGAATATATTTCGCTATTTAGGCATTTTCCTGATTCTTAATTTTCCTCCTTCCCTAGCTTTGCTAGCCCTCAGTGCGATTACTACCGACTCCCTTATATTTCTTGCTAAGTACTGATTTATTTTAAGCTATAAAGTAAATATTACGTGCAAATTTCCATACTATATCTATTCTTCTCCACATACAGACACACTCTAACACACACGCACGTACGCACACAATAACACACACACATAAACAGACATACAAAATTGGTTTTAATTTAGTTATTTATAATTGATTTCATTGCGTTTCATCATCAGCCTATTAATGTCCCCACAGGCCTTCCCTATGGATGGAATAGGGAGATTGGGCCATGACCCACCACGCGGCCCAGTGCGGATTGGTGGGTGCTAACGACTGCAGATGCAGCTGGGACCAACGGCTTAACGTGCCTTCCGAAGCACGGAGGAGCTCGAGATAGTAATTTTTGGTCACCCATCCAATGACCGAGCACTGCGAAAGTTGCTTAAGTTCAACGATCGCAGCCGAACGCGCTAACCACTTGCGCCATCGAGCTCCTCAGTTATCATTGCGTTTGTTTTGTTACAATGTAGCAATTAAATTTAATAACGCTAAAAACTTAGCAATATAATTCTTAAATATTAAGTCGTAGAAATATTATTATTTATTCAGCGCCATCTATCATCATGCATATAAATTATTCAATATCGAAGTCCACTTTGAAAAGCAACGGACAAATACAATATATGTGTGAACCTAGTAGTTGCATTTGGAATGTAAGTTAGAGGGAGCTAGTGTGTAAATTTTTTTAATGAGATGCAAAATTGGATGTGACGTCACATTAATGTTCTGGAAACATTGAGAGGCGGAGTCAGCAAAACCGGTCCGTTTGATTCCTCACACCAAATATGGTGATATGAGAGAAATTTGCAATGACGCTGTCACGTGTTGTAGTAGCCTATAAATAGCAGTGCACAACCAAATTCGCTCTCTTTTGGCTGATAGAACCTTGAAGACCATACTTAGAAAATAGCATTAAGACTAGCAGTGGTAGTCCGTGCACTATATACTTGATATTTCTCCCCGGATTAACGGGTAAGTTCAATACATTTGATTCGTTAGGCTGTAGGTCCAGTTAGTTTTTTTATTGAATTATAGAAATATGTGTAATTGGTTCTAGGTCCATTAATTTAGCTAATTAATAACAGTAATAATCACAATTACTTGATCCTGATTGGAATCTCCTTGGAAATATATATATGTATGAGCCTGTGAAGCTTTCTTGAGCAAAAAGTGACGGGTTCACGTGATGACAGCAAGTCCTGCTTCATCCCAGAGGACACTTGAGTCATCCTGATGCTCCCATGATCTTGCCAAGCTAAGTAAAACTTATAACTTCTTGATATTTAACCAGTGCATACTCCGGAGAACCATTTCTGTTTAACGTGATAAAGGATTTTCTATTGGTAAACTGTAAAGCCATTATAAGAACATAACAAATTTTTATTGTCAAATTTTCAAAACTTAATATTTTATAACTTGTTTAATAATTTGTTTATATAAGAAACTTAAATTGAGTATTACTGTATTAGCACATGATCTTGAATGTATGAATATCTTTAAATCAAAAGAAAAATCTTTGAGGAAATATAACTATGTATTTATTAACTTGAATGTGACTAGTATTAAGTTTTAACCATGATGAAATAAGATCTGAATTTTTTTTACAATATAATATCTTGTTCATAACGGTTTTAGACATTTTCATTTATCTCCCTCAAATCACAGTAGTACGGCGCCCTGATTATAAATTAAATAAGTTTCGAGTCTCATGTAAGCCCTGAAATAGCCGGTGGTAACAAAAATTGTTACAAAATGGCGACCAACTTTAGGGCCGAGCAATAAAATACTGTATTTGAGGGAAATACTGGTGTGCTGATATGATGATAAAAAGGTTGGCGGAAAAAAATAAATGCTTAAATCCCCAATCAGTCTGAACGGCACACTAGAATTTAACATCTAATCAAAAAAAAAAAAAAAATTAACTTAAAAATCTTTAATATTCAGAATTTGTACTAATGTGTTAATATGATGATAAAAAGATTGGTGGAAAAATTTAATGCTTAAAATCCCCAATCAGTCTGAATAGCACATTAGAAGTAAATTACTTAATAACTTAAAAAACTTTAATAAACAATACTTTTGGAATACTAGTGTGTCTAAATGATGATAAAAAAGGTTGGTGGAAACATAGATGCTTAAATCCCCAACCAGTCTGAAAAACACACTAGCATTAATTAACTTAGCACATTAGAATTAATCAACTTATACTACAATAACACTTTCGTATTGATTGGATGCGTAAAAAATTGACCTTGAACAGTGAACAAGATAGTCTTTAAGAATTGAAACTTGTAATAATAAAAGTACCCTCCTTCAAAAAAAAAAAAATTTTATAAATTTCCTTTGTATTTAACTTTCTTAGATTAAATAACTTGAATAAGTAGCTTGATTTAAAAACTTGATTAAACGTAATTTAATAATTAACTTAATAATTAACTTAGTAACAGAAATAACTGACTTTAACTTAAAAAAAAAAATCTGAGAAAATGCTCTCTTTACAAAAATATGTAAACTACTTAAGAAAGGATGAAATCATATATGAATTGGATATTCTTGGCATTTCCACAGCTCCTGACACATCGGTGGATGCACTGAGAAAGCAGCTTCGCCAAATTTTTAAGCTGAAGAGACGTGGCAGCATCAAGTGTGCTCCAGTGATCACACCACTCCCGGCAAGCGAGCTCAAGGCATGTACGCCGAAAATTGCTGAGCTCGAGGATCTGCTGTCATCAGGTGACCTCGGAAAGGACAGTAACCTTCACTTACGTGTGTCAGTTAGGGCTAATTATCTAATCGATAGACTTGCTCGATTGGAGGTTGACAATGCTTCTCTGGTGGATTTGCGCCACAGGCTCATACGTATCTTAGCTCAAGTAGAACAGGAAGATGAAAGTAGTTCAGACGAATTAAGTGATAAGGAAGGTACTCCCAAGTGTAGTAAAACCGGCATGAAGGATGTGAGGGAACAAGAGACGGATGAATATGTGTTGCCTATCTCGAAAACAAGGATGAATGAAAAGAATGGAAGTGAGGAATTAATCGTCATTAAAGAAAAACCAATTAACTTAAATTCACTTAATTTAAAATATAATGGTTCAGGTTGCGTTAGAAGTTTTATTGAGAGGTTAGAGGAACTTAGACAGGCCCGCGAGATTCCGCAATCTCGTATGCTGACAGCATTTTCCGATCTCTTAGAAGATTCTGCATTGGCGTGGTTTAGAAGTAACAAAGCGAACTTTAACTCATATTCTGATCTATTGTTACACTTAAGAGAGGATTTTGATATTCCGGATTTAGATTATCGACTTAAAAACGAAATTAGACAACGCACACAAGCTAGACAAGAGTCAATTGTGAGCTATATCTCCACGATGCAAGGAATGTTTGCGAGATTGTCTATTCCCATGTCATTAGAAGAACAGCTAGAAATTTTAATGCATAATATTCGTCCGGAATATATGAAAGAGTTGGCTCTTCATAACGTTGATTCTATTCTTACGTTAAAACAATTAGGAAAGCGCTTGGAATTGGCTCAAGTCCGTGCAGAGAAATTTACGGAACCCAATTTGAATAAATTATTTATTTCAAATGACCTTCAGTCACGAAGAATAAAAAATAATTTCAAACCAACCCGTCAGATCTCAACCGTAACTTTACCTCAAAATGTCTCAAATGATAGGAGGTGTATGAGATGTCAGAGTCGAGAGCATTTCACTAGAGAGTGTGTAAATTCGAGAGAAATTCTTTGTTTTAAGTGTGGTAAAAAGGGCGTAAGACGACCTGAGTGCCCACAATGTAATCCAAGTAATAATTCAAAAAACTAAAAAGTGGGAACTTCACATATAATTACGGTAAAAAAAGGTCACACATTAACTTAAATAACCGTGAAGTTCTCTTCCATAAGAAAAAGTTTGACAATAGACCTTATTTGCAATTTAAAATATTAAATGTAGATGCGTTAGGACTTGCTGACTCTGGTGCGTCATGCTCGATACTCGGCAAAAACTCGCACCTCATCTTTCTGAATTTAGGCTTTAAACTTAACACTTTAGATAAAGAGCGTATTGTAAAAACCGCTAATAGCACTGAATTGCATTGCGTAGGGTACATGTCTCTGCCCATTGAATATAACTCAATACTTAAGGTAATTACATTTTATGTTGTTCCGGAAATTACTACACCAATCATATTAGGTATTGATTTTTGGCACCATTTTGGTTTGACAAAAAACTTGATGTCATCCAACTTTAGTAATATCACTTTAAACTCAGAAAATCCTATTAACTCAATATCATTAAAAAACGGGTTAGAAGATTACAATAACTTAACGACGGCGCAAAAGCGAATAATTAATAAAATAATTGATAAATTTGACTTAATTAACACAGAAAAGGTTGGTCTTGGTAGAACTTCATTGGAACACCATAAAATAGATACTGGTAACCATAGTCCGATTAAACAGCGTTATTATCCCTTATCACCTATCAAGCAACTAGCACTCGAGAAGGAATTAGATAAAATGTTAGCCCTAGGGGTAGTTTCTCCTTCCCAATCGGCTTGGAATTCTCCAGTAGTAATGGTAGAAAAACCCAATGGTGAAACTAGATTATGCCTAGACTCTCGAAAACTTAATTACGTCACAAAACCAGACGCTTATCCCTTGCCTTATATTAACCAAATATTAGATCATCTTAACAACGCTAAATATTTAACCTCAATTGACCTTAGTGCCGCATATTGGCAGATTCCTTATGACTCTGCAGCATCTGCTGAAAAGACAGCTTTCACAGTTCCTCGTAGAGGCTTATTTCAATTTAATGTGATGTGTTTTGGGTTAGTAGGGGCGTCAGCAACCATGCAACGCTTAATGGATAAATTATTTGGCCCAGAATTCGATAATAAGGTATTTGCTTTTCAAGATGATATAATTTGCATTAGTAACACTTTCTCAGAACATATTGAGCTCCTTGAGAAAATATATCAGCGCCTGAAAGAAGCAGGCCTGACAATAAATAAAAAAAAATCACAGTTTTGTCGCAAAGAGCTCAAATATTTAGGGTATTACATTGATAAACATGGTTTAAGAACGGACCCTGGTAAAGTAGATATAATCCTTAACTATCCTACACCCTCGAACCCCAAGGAGGTAAAAAGATTCCTTGGAATGGCAGGTTGGTACAGAAGATTTGTGAATAATTTCTCTGAAATCAGCAAACCGTTATGTAAACTCACCCGTAAGAATGTGGATTTTGAATGGAACTCTGAGGCACAGAAATCCTTTAATTTGCTTAAAACTGCCCTTGTTTCTGCCCCTATTTTAAAAATGCCAGATTATTCGCGCCCTTTCCGTATTTTGACTGACGCATCTGCATACTCAGCGGCGGCCGTTCTCACCCAGTCTTATGACGGAGTGGAACACCCTATTGCCTACTGTAGCCGCTCACTTAATAAAAATGAAGTTAATTATAGTACAACAGAAAGAGAATTATTAGCTGTTATTTATGCATTAGAACAATTTAGACAATATGTTGAAGGTCAGGAATGTACCATAGTCACAGACCATGCTTCACTGTTGTGGTTTTATAAATTAAAAAACCCCACAGGTCGTTTAGCACGATGGAGCATGCGTCTTAGTCAATTTAACTTTAAAATAGAACACCGGAAGGGTCGGGATCATATCCTCCCGGATACTTTGTCACGTATTAAATTAGATTCAATAGAAATAGATTTATCAAAAGATAGTTGGTACTCTTATATGTTAAACGCAGTAAAGAATAACCCACGTAAATTTCCTAATTTCATGGAAAAAGATGGAAACTTATATAGATATTCGAAAAATAAATATGATCTTACTAGCGAATTTGATTGGAAACTGGTAGTTCCTGAAGAAAATAGATCGGCAATTCTTAGGAAATATCACGATGACCCTACTAGTGCACATTTAGGTGTCATGAAGACACATAGGAGGATCGCCTTACATTATTACTGGCCCCACCTATACGAATGTGTGAAAAAGTATGTGAGTGAATGTGAGACGTGTAAGCAATACAAACCTGTGAACACGGCACGTCCCGGTCTCATGGGAAGTCCTAAGAAAGTGACCAAGCCATTCGAAGCCATTAGTTGTGATCTATTGGGACCCTTTCCAAACTCAAGGAATAGAAATACTTATTTAATAGTTGTTTCAGATTACTTTAGTAAATATGTCATGTTGCACCCTATACGGTCAGCAACAGGCATGGCTGTAGCAAACTTTATAGAAAAATATGTATTTTTAGTCCATGGCGTTTGTAAAACCATCTTTATAGATAACGGTCCACAATATGTTAGCTCCCATTTTAGACAGCTGTTAACTAAATATAATGTACCAAACATATATTACAATCCTAAGTATCATCCCCAAACGAACCAAGCTGAGCGGGCAAATAGAAACATAGTTCATGCGATAGCCTGTTATGTAAAATCCGAGCATAGAAGGTGGGATGAACACTTAATAGAATTGCAATGTGCTTTAAACACGGCTGTGAATGAAGCAACTAAATTTTCACCCTATTTCCTAGTCCATGGTAGAGAGTATATAATAGATGGTAATTTATATTTAAATTCCTTCCCTCCATGTCCGTTAGATCAAATTACCTCAGACAGTACATTGGAGTATGGGAAAAAGTTGCTTGAACTTAATAATATCTTCCAAAAGGTGAGGAAATATTTGATTGTTGCCCACCAACGGAACGAAAAACAATATAACCTCAGAAAAAGACACATTGAATTAAGAGTTGGCCAAATAGTGTATAAACGTACTCATTATTTATCCAATAAGGCAAAGAATTTTTCTTCCAAATTAGCACCAAAATTTATTAAATGTGTAGTGACGGCTAAATTATCACCTTTAGTTTATACTTTAACCGATTTAAATGGTAAATGTTTAGGTAATTATCATATTAAAGATATACTAAAATATTCTGAACAACAGAACTAACAAATCTTTGAATTCCACATAGGATGCTTATTTTAGTCACTTTCAGTATTAAACGATTGGTTAAGAAGAGTTATGGTATAGGAAGAGTGCATATGGAAATCTGTGGGCTACGGTTCGAAACCTGCCTGAAAATTAAATTGTTTTTCTCTTTTAAATAAATAAATATTTATTTACAACCTTTTTTAACCTATATGGTCACTTTTAAAAAAATGCTTAAATGAAATTTCGAGGAATTTTAATATTTTAACACAAAAAAAAATTTTTTGATAAAATTATTTTCGTCAAGTTGTGTTTACTGATATGCATATGAGTATGAGAGTAGTATGAAATGCGGGATGTATGAAAAGTTTTTTTTTTCCAAAATAAGCACGTGCAATTTATTTTAATACTTAATAGAAAAATAGGTCTTGATGTAAGAAAGGCATAAGCATAAGGAAGTGGACATATACTTTAGACTTGATAATTAAAGATAGGAAGATTGTTGGAAAATAATCTTAATCTTTTGAGTTTGAAAACATACAAACTTCTTTAATCTTGAGTTGTTTTCTTAACTACCTTAAGTTCATAAGATGAACAGAAAAGTCATGTTATACCACTGGATATTAGATCCAAGAAAGGTATTTACATGAAACTAAAAGAAAAATCATTAAACAGCAAATATTTAATTGTTGCTATTGACTTAGAGTTTAGAACATTACGTGGAGTAAATAAATGGATACTCACGTATATAAGTTTAAATTTTTTTTATCTTGGCTAATACTTAGTATTGTTGATTTGTCTGTAAGTCAGTTGCAGGTTAATTAATAAAAAAAAAAAAAATTTTTTGGGAAAAATTTTTTTGAGATAAGGGGGATGTTGTGTAGCAATTAAATTTAATAACGCTAAAAACTTAGCAATATAATTCTTAAATATTAAGTCGTAGAAATATTATTATTTATTCAGCGCCATCTATCATCATGCATATAAATTATTCAATATCGAAGTCCACTTTGAAAAGCAACGGACAAATACAATATATGTGTGAACCTAGTAGTTGCATTTGGAATGTAAGTTAGAGGGAGCTAGTGTGTAAATTTTTTTAATGAGATGCAAAATTGGATGTGACGTCACATTAATGTTCTGGAAACATTGAGAGGCGGAGTCAGCAAAACCGGTCCGTTTGATTCCTCACACCAAATATGGTGATATGAGAGAAATTTGCAATGACGCTGTCACGTGTTGTAGTAGCCTATAAATAGCAGTGCACAACCAAATTCGCTCTCTTTTGGCTGATAGAACCTTGAAGACCATACTTAGAAAATAGCATTAAGACTAGCAGTGGTAGTCCGTGCACTATATACTTGATATTTCTCCCCGGATTAACGGGTAAGTTCAATACATTTGATTCGTTAGGCTGTAGGTCCAGTTAGTTTTTTTATTGAATTATAGAAATATGTGTAATTGGTTCTAGGTCCATTAATTTAGCTAATTAATAACAGTAATAATCACAATTACTTGATCCTGATTGGAATCTCCTTGGAAATATATATATATATGAGCCTGTGAAGCTTTCTTGAGCAAAAAGTGACGGGTTCACGTGATGACAGCAAGTCCTGCTTCATCCCAGAGGACACTTGAGTCATCCTGATGCTCCCATGATCTTGCCAAGCTAAGTAAAACTTATAACTTCTTGATATTTAACCAGTGCATACTCCGGAGAACCATTTCTGTTTAACGTGATAAAGGATTTTCTATTGGTAAACTGTAAAGCCATTATAAGAACATAACAAATTTTTATTGTCAAATTTTCAAAACTTAATATTTTATAACTTGTTTAATAATTTGTTTATATAAGAAACTTAAATTGAGTATTACTGTATTAGCACATGATCTTGAATGTATGAATATCTTTAAATCAAAAGAAAAATCTTTGAGGAAATATAACTATGTATTTATTAACTTGAATGTGACTAGTATTAAGTTTTAACCATGATGAAATAAGATCTGAATTTTTTTTACAATATAATATCTTGTTCATAACGGTTTTAGACATTTTCATTTATCTCCCTCAAATCACAGTAGTACGGCGCCCTGATTATAAATTAAATAAGTTTCGAGTCTCATGTAAGCCCTGAAATAGCCGGTGGTAACAAAAATTGTTACAACAAATAATAATTACATATAAATTATTAATGTGACGCCATCCTATTTATTATATTAAGGTGCCCACGATACAGGTTTCTCCTAGTCTGGGACCCACAATCAATGCTACAGTAATGTTACGTTTAGTCAAAATTAAAAAAAAACATCTTTTATTAAGTCTGTTGTGTATCTAGGATTGTTAGAAAATTTGTAGAATTTTATTAATTAATGTGTTCATGATGGAACAACTTATTGTAAATAAAATTATTATTATTATTATAAATTTGAACCCTATTGCATAGAAAGAAGGAGTAATTACCTGGTGTTGAGAACAGTACACGTCGAGGGTAAGTGGTTGCGGTAACCGTTGCTGTATTAGAACGGGTAACTCTTGCAATTTCTCCAGTAAAGCGCGGCTCTCGTGTCGAATGTTTAGCCTCAAAACATACTCGCCTTTTTCCAATTTTACAGAATACTGTGAAATAAAATGTATCAAACTAGGCGTCAATTCCTACAATCGCAACAATCACACTAATATTATAAAGGCGAAAGTTTGTGAGTGCGTATGTTTGTTACTCCTTCACGTCTAAACGACTGGAGCGATTTTAATAAAATTTGGTATGGAATTAGCTGACACCCAGGATTAACACATAGGCTATGTTTTACTGCGGGAAAATATAATGGAACCGCACCGCGGGGCACAGCTAGTAGAGCAATAAACCAAAAATAACGATAAAAGACATCTTCTGCCCCTCTCGCACATCCTGTTAAGTAGGTATAATATGTGCAAAGGGGAAATAACTGTTGAAACACTAAAATCTACTTCCAAAAACTTATCCTCGAAAAGTATTTATTTTGATACTTTTTTTGGTTGGTTGTTCACAAGTTTTTAAAGCAAATCTGATTCGAGGGACAAATAAAATTAAAATAACTTTTCTATTGGCTAAACTAACAAGCTGGTAAATACAACGGAGATGGTTCAAAAGTGGTAGTCGGTTTCCAGCAGTGACGAAACGTATATCATTTAAAAGCTTGTTTTACATTATAACATGAGCAGATACTTTTAATTTTTTATATACAATACAATACTATAACACTTAATACTTAATATACACTTTATTGTACACCACAGATAACTTTAATTTAGTACATAATCAATTGAAACTAGTGCAACAATATTTATCTCCTATTAATTATAAATCGTGTTTGAAAAGATGCTAGCCACCTTGGAATAAGTAACGTCATATTTTTAGTGTGTCGCAGCTTATAACATCAGCTTAATCACTATGGCAAATGTCAATCAGTTCAGTCATGCTTGATATTCGTAAAATCGTGGTAAACTTATTTTACCAATTAATGGTTCATTCTTATTGAAATAAATACCTACAAAATAACTTATAATGTAATGAAAGACAAACAAGATTATCACTGCTAAGTTACTATTTGAATGGAATATAGATGCTTTGGGACAAAACATAAATAAAGAAAGTTGCCATTTGGCAATCAATAATTATATAATTTGATAGTATAATAAATATTTTTAAAAAAAGGGGGATTAAATAAATTCAAGTTTTTTGGTAAACAATTTACAATTAAGTGTACTACATCTGAAAAATAAAAAAATTGAGTCTGCCAGAGACCGACTACCACCCTCCATACAAATTTGAAACTTCTTGACATAGCCAATAGGGTATTTGATAGTATTCTAAGAAAGTGCCAATGGTTAGCATCTGTATTTAGAATGAATATTAGTTGCAGTTTTTAATGATTTAATAAAACCGCGAAACAAAAAATAGTTTTTTTATCCATTGTCACATGTCATGTAAACTTCCTGTTAATGTGACATTAGTTGCACCGTTTGACGTTTCAATGCCAGTCGTGTGACATCACACAAAAGTAAACACCCAGGTAACGTTTCAGTGGCATATCTGAAAGCAGTATTATTGATTTCGTTCTTTTTATGAAATGCACAACAGTGTGATATACGTTTATGGACTTCAAACAATTATAAATAACGTAAGTTCGTTTTCAAAAATTTGTCAGATACCCTATTATAACGAATTAGCCTTAATTTAGGCATTAAAAAGTATAAATCCAACAGTAACTTTCTAATAAATGTCTATAATTCAGGCTCACCTTAGAAGGATACGCGTCGCCCACAGCCATGAGTTGTTTGCAACTGTTGTACAACATCCACATTTGCGATTCAAACTCAGATTCGTAGAGCATGTCGCATAGTAAAGACACTATTGGTGATACCTAATAAGAAATAAAAACGTTAATTGAGATGCTATACAGACATTGGTGTCAATACTGGCACGATTCTCTCAACTTAAAACTAAATTTAATATCATTCTCTCCTTTTTCATTCAGGGAATGACAAGGATACTCTGTTGTCCAAATTTAAGTTTGATTTAAAGAATCATGTCAGAATCTACACCATTGTTTACCTAACCATGAGAAACTGACACGTGCTGTCAGATCGCATTCTTGCCTTGGTCGCACTGTAAACCTAATTAATTTTGACAACAGTGTATCCTTATTATATGTATGTTATACAGAATGAAAATAAGAGACTGTTGTCAGAACATCCCCATTATATCCATCATCAGCATCAGCCTTTTAATGTCCGCAGTGCTGGGGCACAGGTCTTCACTATGAATGGAGTAGGGAGATTGGGCCGTGACCCACCTCACGAGTCCAGTGCGGATTGGTGGGTGCTAGATGATACATGCAGTCGCGACCAACAGTTAGCGTACGTTCCGAAGCACGGAGGAGCTCGAGATATTCACCCATCCAACGACCGACCATTGCGAAAGTTGCTTAACTTTCACGATCGCATGCCAAACATGCAAATCACTTCCGCCATCGAGCTCCTCGATTATATTATTAACTGTAATATGCTGTTTTCTACTCCTCGAATAAATCATTCAATGTTATATTTACTGCTAAATTTCTTATTATATATACAAACGTACCTCTGTGGCTTTCGCTATATGGAAGTTATAGATATTGATCAGCTGGTAGATCTGCCGGCTCGGAGGGATCACATCCCGGGCCGTCAGTGGTGCCAATTTCGACTCCGTTGGCCTAATAATAAATCAATGAAACTCCGTTAGAAATGCAATTTAATGGAGATACTGCAAAATAGTCCTAAAGTATATTTGACGAGTGACTCTGTAATTTAAATCGATTGATATCTTACGGCGGCATTTTACTTAGCTATTGGTGTTTGCTATTTGTAAACTTGTCATAACTCTTGTCCTTTTCATTCCTTATGAAGCAAGATAAGGACAGACTGTTGTGTTTGTGTGTCAAATTTACAAATAGGAAATAGTGTGTAATAGTGAAGTGCCGGTATTAAACTAATTTGAAATATTAAATTATAGAAGCATAGCTATGTTTTATCTTTTTCATTGAAGGTATACAATTTTTTTAAGGCCCGCACAATCGTCAGTGGTGACGTCAGCTCGCTCTCCCTCTGCCGCGCGCCTGTCTCGCTCGCACTCACCTACAGACGGGCTCGGCATACTTGAGCACGGCGTGCGGGGCGACGTCTTGCAGACGGAGGGCACAGAGTCACACACCGCACCAGCGTCAGTGGTGACGTCAGCTCGCCGCTCTCCCTCTGCCGCGCGCCTGTCTCGCTCGCACTCACCTACAGACGGGCTCGGCATACTTGAGCACGGCGTGCGGGGCGACGTCTTGCAGACGGAGGGCACAGAGTCACACACCGCACCAGCGACAGTGGTGACGTCAGCTCGCCGCTCTCCCTCTGCCGCGCGCCTGTCCCGCTCGCACTCACCTACAGACGGGCTCGGCATACTTGAACACGGCGTGCGGGACGACGTCTTGCAGACGGAGGGCACAGGGTCACACACCGCACCATCGACAGTGGTGACGTCAGCTCGCCGCTCTCCCTCTGCCGCGCGCCTGTCTCGCTCGCACTCACCTACAGACGGGCTCGGCATACTTGAGCACGGCGTGCGGGACGACGTCTTGCAGACGGAGGGCATAGGGTCACACACCGCACCATCGACAGTGGTGACGTCAGCTCGCCGCTCTCCCTCTGCCGCGCGCCTGTCTCGCTCGCACTCACCTACAGACGGGCTCGGCATACTTGAGCACGGCGTGCGGGGCGACGTCTTGCAGACGGAGGGCGCAGAGTCACACACCGCACCAGCGTCAGTGGTGACGTCAGCTCGCCGCTCTCCCTCTGCCGCGCGCCTGTCTCGCTCGCACTCACCTACAGACGGGCTCGGCATACTTGAGCACGGAATGCGGGGCGATGTCTTGCAGACGGAGGGCGCAGAGTCACACACCGCACCAGCGTCAGTGGTGACGTCAGCTCGCCGCTCTCCCTCTGCCGCGCGCCTGTCTCGCTCGCACTCACCTACAGACGGGCTCGGCATACTTGAGCACGGCGTGCGGGGCGACGTCTTGCAGGCGGAGGGCACAGAGTCACACACCGCACCAGCGTCAGTGGTGACGTCAGCTCGCCGCTCTCCCTCTACCGCGCGCCTGTCTCGCTCGCACTCACCTACAGACGGGCTCGGCATACTTGAGCACGGCGTGCGGGGCGACGTCTTGCAGACGGAGGGCGCACAGGGTTACGCCCCGCACGCCGTCCACTGCGGCCATAGTTAGTCGAGAACCACAGTCCGGTTTGAGCCCGTGGAACTCCACGCTGTAGTCGACGGTCAGGTCGCCTATGTTCGCCCAGTACTTGGCTATGGCCACTTCTAACGTCACTCCGCCCTAGTGACAATAGAAAAGAAAAATACAATAAAAGAGGTTAAATTCCTAACTGAGCTATAGCATGTATCCATAGCTATAACATGTGACAAATAAACCTAATATCTCCAAGGTGTGAAATGAAGGGGATTAAGACTTAGGCCCGTATTATAGAAAGATTCTCAGTGATTGATCTAGTCTTGAGCATAGTTAGAATGGGATGTCACTATATATAGCACATAGCGACATCCCTTTCTAACAGTGCTCAATTGGAGATGAGCACTTGGTTGTCATTCTGTAATACGAGCCTAGACTTTGATGAAGCTGTTTTTATCCGCACCCACCGAGGCAGCGGGAGTACTGTTTCATTTCAAAACCACAAAGTGTTGCGTGATCTCGCAGCCGCAGCGGTTGTGAGAAAGCCCGTAAACTAAACAGGAGAAGATAGCAAAGCGAGATTGTTAACTCCGCTAAATATACTTGCTTGCTGATAAGACTGATTGTTTAGTCAAGCGCGCGTTCGAAGTCTGCCGAGCCTGCGGATGACCGCAACCCGCACGTTTTTTTACAAACACCAATTAGCCTAGCTCCAAGATGGCACTGTGTTATGCAATATTAGGGTAACGGATAGATCACATACTAATCTATAATATAAGTATATTTATCTAAAAATATATATCACACTAATATTATAAAGGCGAAAGTTTGTGAGTATGTGAGTGTGTATGTTTGTTACTTCTTCACGTCTAAACGGCTGGAGCGATTTTAATAAAATTTGGTATGGAGTTAGCTGACACCCTAGATTAACACATAGGCTACTTTTATCCCGAAAAAATGTTAGTTTCCAGAGGGATTTTCAAGAAACTAAGTTAACGCAGACGAAGTCGCGGGCTACCTCTAGTTAATAATATATATAAATGCTTAAAAAAATATAACACATATAATTGCTATTTCTTCTTTCAAATGTTTAATACTTGTAAAGGTATTCATTAGACATTATGGGTTACCTATAATGCGAAGAGATGGCGATGCCTTGCAGCTTAATAAAGGCTAGATAAAATTCGACACGGTCGTCAAGGCCGCGGTAGCATAATGGTCAGAGCATTCGCCCGGATAGCGAAGAGTGCGGGTTCCAGTCCCGTCTGCTACCTGGTCTGCGTGGTTTTTTTTCTAGTAAAATTTTCTTTTGATTTAGACATCTAGAAATTAAATGTTTAAAATTTAGATTTACGCTAAAAGCGTAGAATCAGTTTGTAGGGCAGTTTGTGTTCCATGTTATATCTAATTTGTTGGTCCTTTGCATGGGAATAAACTCTTTCACTCACCATAACCTGGAAGGGCAGCAAGGTTGGTGCTTCCGAAGTGACGTTGATCATCTTCTGTGTCTCGTGGCAGCGGCACGACTTGCGCGGTAATATCTGCATCGTGTGGACTAGAAAGCGGCCCGTTTTCTCCTTCTCTTCGGTCGATATCTTTAACACACCCCACGTGGCTTCCGGGGGCACTGAAAATATTATATAATGTAAATATTATATCGAAAAAAAATTACGCGGACCAGGCAGCAGACGGGACTAGAACCCACTATCCCTTCGCTATCCGGGCGAATGCACTGACCAATTATGCTACCGCAGCCCAGTTCGCCGCGGCGAACTTCTTCTAGCTGTTCTTAAGCTGCAAGGCAGCGCCATCTCTTCGCATTGTAGGTAGCCCACAATGTCAAATGAATACTTTTACAAGTATTAAACATTTTGAAAGAAGAAATAGCAATTATAGTTATATTTTTTTTAATTTTTTAAGCATGCTTGATGTTTAAATCTAAAGAAAATATAACTAGATAAAAAAAATCCACGCGGACCAGGCAGCAGACGGGACGCGAACTCGAACCCTTCACTATCCGGGCGAATGCACTGACCAATTATGCTACCGCGGCCCTGTCGGCTGCGTCGAAATTCTTCTGATGATAAGGGAGTGTTCAAACGCGATCGATCAATAAGGGCTGGCCACAGGCCGCCTGTCTGAGACCCTTTGAATCTCACGTCTGTCTCTGAGAGCTTTTGATTGTCTTACGTCTGTCTGTGTGAAACTTAAAATAAACATTACTTCGGGTGCTCGAATTCGAGTATTGTCTTTCGTGCGGGATAACGATCAAAATATGTAATTGTAGCAATAATCAACTTGCTTTAGTTTCTCTACTCGCTACAGTAAAAGCTCCTTATTCAGGCTTCCTGTATTCGCGTTTTTAGTATTCGCGAAAAAAAAACGGCACACAGTGGATCGATGTACCCTATGTCCCATCGTTTGGGACATAGGGTACATAAAAAATCATGTGACGAATTTTGATAAAAAACATTAATAGCATTTTCTTATGGCAATGTTATTTATAGAAATATGGTACCTAAAGTGATTTCTTAGTATGACTTGACCGAAAATCAGCAACTCACTACTTGAGACTCGAAGATATAATGTGTTAAAATAATAATTTCTGAATATATTTGTAGATCTAATGACAAAAAATCGGTCGATATCTATGTCTATGTCTTAAGATGCGCGCGACAAAGACGCGCGATTTGGATAGTCGATGATGTCAAGCTAGCGGAACATTCTATTGCCAATGCAGTTGTCTATGCGTATTGGCTACAGGCTGTTTCATGGTAAGTGCTTTAAGCAATTGTTCCAGTTAAAGCGCATTTTTTACTGCTTTAAAAGGCTTTTATTGACACAAACCCGAAAAAACCGAAAACACGGCTAAACTGGTAACCTTTTTTTTTAAGAACTAGATAAACCGGTTTTTTCAAAATCGGCCGGTTTTTGCATGCCTTATCTGACACTGACTGATGAGCAGACGGCGCCCTAAAGTCAGTAGTGCGTCTCGCGTTAGTATCGAACTTCAGCTATATGAGTTTGCAACTGAGGATCGGATATCAGGAGCTGGCAAACAAAACGGTATAATCACCTAAAATTAAATTTTACAAAAGCATTTCACAGATTTGACTGAATGACATACATACAGTGAGCTTTTGGCGTGGTTTTTAATTTATAAATTTAGTTACTTTAAAATAAATAATAATAAATAAATATTTCCAACACTCACACCAATTACCCTAGCCCCAAAGTAAGCACTATAAGTCTTGTGTAATGGGATGCTAGGTTAACGGATAGAATACATATACTGTACATGTATAAGTATATTTATATAGAATTATATATTTATCATCCATGACTGGAGTAAAATGCTCGTATTCGTCACATAAACGTCTGCCCCCACCGAGATTCGAACCCGGGACCTCTCGAGTGGGGGACACCATGAAACCCTGCAAACAAAGCACTCGGCCACGGAGGTCGTCTATTAAGGCGGTTTTGATTGAAAATGAGTTGAGATTCAAATTAGATACGTAATTATATCGTTTTGTTTGACAGGGCCTCTTATTATTCCTAACTAGTGGCCCGCCCTCGCTTCGCTTCGGTGTAGAGCTGTAATGTATACTAGTTTTATTTTCTCAGGCTTGTATTATCAGTGTTTCTCTACTATATTATGCATATATTATACATATATAAACCTTCCTCTTGAATTACTCTATCTATTAAAAAAAACCGCATAAATCCGTTGCGTAGTTTTAAAGATCTAAGCATACATATGGACAGACAGCGGGAAGCGACTTTGCTTTATACTATGTAGTGATTAAGGAGCTCGATGGCGCAAGTGGTTAGCGCGTTCGGCTGCGATCGTTGAACTTAGCAACTTACACAGTGGTCGGTCATTGGATGGGTGACCAAAAATTACTATCTCGAGCTCCTCCGTGCTTCGGAAGGCACGATAAGCCGTTGGTCCCGGCTGCATCTGCAGTCGTTAGCACCCGCCAATCCGCACTGGGCCCGCGTGGTGAGTCATGGCCCAATCTCCCTATTCCATCCATAGGGAAGGCCTGTGCCCCAACAGTGGGGACATTAAGACTGATGATGATGATGTAGTGATTGGTTGCTTGACACTGACCGATGAGCAGACGGCGCTGGATGTCTGCGGGGCGGAACAGCTCAAAAGGTATTCATTAGACATTATGGGTTACCTACAATGCGAAGAGATGGCGCTGCCTTGCAGCTTAATAAAGGCTAGATAAAATTCGACACGGTCGTCAAGGCCGCGGTAGCATAATGGTCATGGCCCAATCTCCCTATTCCATCCATAGGGAAGGCCCCAGCAGTGGGGACATTAATAGGCTGGTGATGATGATGATGTAATGATTGGTTACTTGGCACTGACCGATGAGCAGTCGGCGCTGGATGACTGCGGGGCGGAACAGCTCAAAAGGTATTCATTAGACATTATGGGTTACCTGCAATGCGAAGAGATGGCGCTGCCTTGCAGCTTAATAAAGGCTAGATAAAATTCGACACGGTCGTCAAGGCCACGGTAGCATAATGGTCATGGCCCAATCTCCCTATTCCATCCATAGGGAAGGCCCCAGCAGTGGGGACATTAATAGGCTGATGATGATGATGATGTAGTGATTGTTTGCTTGGCACTGACCGATGAGCAGTCGACGCTGAATGTCTGCGGGGCGGAACAGCTCATAAGGTATTCATTAGACATTATGGGTTACCTACAATGCGAAGAGATTTGCAGCTTAATAAAGGCTAGATAAAATTCGACACGGTCGTCAAGGCCGCGGTAGCATAATGGTCATGGCCCAATCTCCCTATTCCATCCATAGGGAAGGCCCCAGCAGTGGGGACATTAATAGGCTGATGATGATGATGATGTAGTGATTGTTTGCTTGGCACTGACCGATGAGCAGTCGACGCTGAATGTCTGCGGGGCGGAACAGCTCATAAGGTATTCATTAGACATTATGGGTTACCTACAATGCGAAGAGATTTGCAGCTTAATAAAGGCTAGATAAAATTCGACACGGTCGTCAAGGCCGCGGTAGCATAATGGTCATGGCCCAATCTCGCTATTCCATCCATAGGGAAGGCCCCAGCAGTGGGGACATTAATAGGCTGATGATGATGATGATGTAGTGATTGTTTGCTTGGCACTGACCAATGAGCAGTCGGCGCTGAATGTCTGCGGGGCGGAACAGCTCGCGGGTGCATTGCAGTGCAGGCTGCAGCTGCAACGCCCCCGGCTGCAGTACCGTCACCGGCACATAGAACACGGGGCCCTTCTCTATGCACCGCACGTCGTAAGCGTTGATACTGCGCAATACAATTCAAAATTTAGAGACATAGATATATTTTTTGGATCAAAACAGAAATTTTAAAATGATTTGAGGTTGACACTTTATCTCCCCTTGTAATTTTTAAATATTTATACATATTTATTTATATTTTATTTGTCCCATTCGGTGTCGAGACCCTTGGTCCGTGGGGTCCTAGCGCTATGAGGTTTTTTAAGGAAACATCAAAAAGGTTAGTCGACGTCATCGGAGACCGAAGAGCTGGCAACTACCTCGGACAACGAATTAGCCTAGCTATTCAAAGGGGGAACGCTGCCAGTATCTTCGGAACCTTGCCTAAAGGGACTCCTTTTAGTAATATATTTTAGTTATTATATTATATTTTTTAAGGTTTTTAGTTTAAGGTTCATTGTTCCTGTATATATTAATTTTATACATATACATATTTATTGTTTATTTTATGCATGTTTTTATTTCATTTTGGTTGATTGCAGATACATGAATGTTTATTAGACTCGTACCCAATTAGTGACTTTTCTCTGGTAATAACAAATTTTCATTCCTTTCGCCCGCTTTGTTTTATCACTTAGGATTGAAGACTATTTCATCAATGTTTTTTTTTCTTTATTTTATGTTTCCTTTTTTGGTAACTAAGGTTTACTTATATGTTATTCAGCTGTGCACATTTTTGCTAGCCTTTGGCTGTTTAATGTACGTTTATAAATAAAAAAAAAAATAACAACCAACAAACAATATTATAACCAGCCCCTCTAGCATGACCACCGAAACGGGATATGATAAAGCGATATATCGGTATTAACTGTCAAACTACAGTGGAGATTGACAGGAGTCTGACAGTTAATGCCTATATATCGCTTTTTCATATCCCGTTTCGGTGGTCATGCTAGAGGGGCTGAACTATCGTTTTGTGTCGTGACGCGTCAGAAAGCTATCGTTTTCACACATTTTGTACAGTTAAGAGTGAGTACGGTGTCGACACGTCGCTACAGATCACGACACACAAATATAATTCTAATATGGTATACATAATGAAAAGCTGGCGAACTGTTAACACATTGCAAGATTTGTAAAACAGGTATAGTAGGCAGGTAGGTTAGTATACGTACTAACCTCGCGTAATGCGGCCCCGGCGGTAAAGCGGCAGTGTCTATTCTAACTGCTATAGGCCTGGAAGCGATGCTCATATTAAAGTAGGCAGCGATATCCACGCCGCTTCGCACGATAGAACCAGCATGATGCCAAACGAGATCTGCTTAGGAATTATCGACTTGTCTGTCTGTATAGTAGTATGTTTTGTACTAACCTCGCGTAATGCGGTCCCGGCGGTAAAGCAGTAGTGTCTATTCTAACTGCTATAGGCCTGGAAGCGTTGCTCATGTCCAAGTAAGAGGGCAGCGATATCCACGCCGCGTCACACGACAGAACCAGCCTGATACCGAACGAGATCTGCTTCGGAATTATCAACTTGTCTGTCTGTACACCAGTATGTTTTGTACTAACCTCGCGTAATGCGGTCCCGGCGGTAAAGCAGTAGTGTCTATTCTAACTGCTATAGGCCTGGAAGCGTTGCTCATGTCCAAGTAAGAGGGCAGCGATATCCACGCCGCGTCGCACGACAGAACCAGCCTGATACCGAACGAGATCTGCTTCGGAATTATCGACTTGTCTGCAACACACCACACGCTACATAGGTTTTGTTGTATCTGTTCGGCATACACGACATGTTAGATATCTATACTATCTTTACCCCTGTTCGAAAATGTGTTATTGGTGTGCGTGAAAACATAGCTAATAAAATATGTTAGCGATGTTGGATACGCCCACTCAGATGTTGTGTGCGTTAAGTCAAGTATTTTTTTTCTTTTGTCTGTGGCTCATTCCGTTTTCCACAGAAATTTAGCCAATGTCCTGTAGTGAAAGAAAAAGGAGAACTACAGAGGAAGGTGATCGGTAAATTTTGAGTCAAAATATTGTCAAGTTTTAGTTAGTTATAATAACCCCTCTCTGTCTACAAATTGCCATATTAATTAATTTTTATTTCCTACATTTACTAACTTTATTATAAACATGTTTAAACTGCTAATAAATAAAACAATTTTTTTTTTATTTCATTCATATTTGATGTTAATAAACCTATAGTTTCACAGTCACAAAACACAACCTGAAAAAAGTTATAAACATCGAACATAATGTAAAAAAATAAGACGTTGAAGTGTCATTCGATACTTTCAGACAATAATTGTTTAAGATCTTTCTGGATCAATTGAAAGAAAATCAATAATATTAAACTATCAACAGCTCGAATGGAAAATATGAAAAAAGGGCTATTATGGCTGCAAGACAAAAAAATGAAACGAATTTAATTTGCAACCTTTCCCAATGCGTTAAAATAAACAACAAAATTATAAAGCATTTTACGTAGATATGGAAAGAGGCACGTCTTATTTTAGAAAAATTAATAGATTACTTTATTCCTGTATAAAATTTAATTTACTTAAATAAAGTACTTGTGATAAACACTATTTAGATGTATTGCAATAGAACCAATAGGTAAAAATTACAAGAAAGAAAGAGAGAAAATAATACTCCTATATTGGAATACCTGAAACTACTTGTCCAAGTTACTAGATCTCATCTAATCTATTATGATAGTGACAACGATATTAAATACCTTAGATACAACAACACGAACAAAATCGTGGGCGAAACATGTCCAAAAGGTATACTGAACGATCCACGGAGCTGCGTAAGATGATCGCGTAGTCAAAAACCATAAAAATATAGACCTTATTTCTTTGACCCTACGCGCAATTCTAAATGCGCTGTTAGCAATATAGCAGGTACGGACCGCGAGGAAAAGAGACGGCTATATAACCGACCATGCATTTGAATATTAAAAATATTTTATATTAAATCATTATTATAGTAAGTATTAGAACTAATAAAATAATTAATTTGCTTTAAAAGTGTTAAATTAAATTAATGATTAGATTTTTTTTTTGCATTTTTTCACGAAACTCTGCGGCATATTGATTTTTCAACGGTCCACGCGTGACTGCGAGCCAAGAAGTGCTTGAGTGGTGCTCAAGCACTTCTTTATTGGGACACATTTTGAGCGCCCGTGGTGCATCTAGGTATTTAATATCGTTGGATAGTGAAGAAAACAGGGCACTGAAAAACATACCACGCAACGAGAACTGCTTTTTAAGCACAATCTTATTAAATCCACTTGATTTACTTTTCGAACCTAGAATTATAAATAATATCAACGAGTCTTGTGAAATCTAATTGAACATTAATAAATTTTGTATATGTCGTGTCATATAAAAAGATCTCCTTGATTCCTAAAAGAAGCCTAGATAGAAATGCTCTACAAAACAAATAATTTATCATATTATCTATACTCTTCTACTTTCTTTGAGCCAAAAGGTAAACAAACCCTAAAAAAGCTTGTTCAATAGGTTGAACGTCATACGCATTAAAAAATCATAATTAAAAAAAGTGACATTATGAGCCTGCGCTGCGTTAAGCGATCACGGAGCGAGCGTCCGTTCCGCTTGAATTTTTTCTGTCATTTCATAGAAACCCGCCACGCAGCGCTGCTGCAATAACATGAAACAAACACGCGGAGCAGACGCCCGCTCCGTGCTCCCGCTTAACGCAGCGCAGGCTCTTAAGACTTAAAACTATAGCTTTTCCCAGAATTTTAACGAACACAATAGGCGGCCTTATTGCTAACCAGCAATCTCTTCCAGGCAACCTATGGTGGAAAAGGAATAATAATACAAATATAAATATATAAAATATAACATTTCAAAATGAAAAAACACTCACTCTCCTCGTCTTGGTGGTTCTGTAGGAACTGGGGCTCGACCGTGATCCCTATGTCCTTGGGCACATCGTTCAATTTAGGTCTCAATAGGATCCCCTTAGCGTTGCCGGTGCCACACTGAATGTTGAACGTGACATCGCGTTCGGATTCCGCGGAATAAGTTGTTAGATGTTCGAAAGCCTGAAGAAAAAACGTTTTTTATAAAAGACTTGTAATTTATTAATGTTTTTTAATTTCCATCATCATCATCATCAGCCTATTAATGTCCCCACTGCTGTGGCATAGGCAACAGATCTTCCTCGGAAAAAAACATGTTGATATGGTGTTATAAAATTACGAGCGGCGATAGATAATTGATCCGTGACAATTTTTTCTAATAGTTTACCAAGTATACAAAGTTTAGCAATAGGTCTATACTGAGTAATATCATCAACCCTATCATTTTTAGGTATTGGAGTAATTAAAGTTCTCTTCCATATATCAGGGAATGTTTCTGTTTCAATTGATTTATTACATATGCAGTTAATTGGGGTAGCTAATTCTTTTGAGCATCTGGAAAGGAACAATGGGTGGATCCCATCATTGCCGGCACTCTTTTTCATTTCATCAAACCGGAGGGAATGAATTCATGTTGAATAAAAACAGAGTTAAAATAATCATTAAATAAATTACAAATTTCTTTAACGTGTCGGGTAGTTATATCTTTGTATGTCAAAGTATCAGGTAAACCAGACTTTACTTTTTTGCAGTTTACATAGGTCCAAAAGAATTTCGGATTCCTCCTTATAATGTCGTCTGTAACTCTTATATAAACAGAAATACATTCTTTTTCTATTTTGTGTGCTCTCGATCTCAGCAGAGAGAAAGTATAATAATCAAAAATAAATCATCCAAAATAACTAATTAAACTTTCGAAATTACTTAATTTTTATATTCATCAAGCGAACTTATGTCTGTAAGTTCATGTTTAATACTGTCATAATCAGCTGAGTAAAATAAAGGTTTACGAAAAGTTGGATTACAACGTAAAGGTTACATCTTTCACTGACAGATTTATATCAATGGTGGGGTGATGAGCATCTTCTTTGATTAATGGGTTCAAATTAAGCTTAATATTACAGTAAGTATTACTAAAAATAAATTCGAAAAATTTGTAATTGGCATTAGGAATAGAGTTGTATTGCTTTAAATTCGACATATTTAGAATGTCCGCTACCAAAAACGCTAATTCACTTTCGTTACTAAAAAGGGACATACTGTTTAAGTCTGGGTCAAACTGACACATAGCCTTAGTAACGTTAAAATCTCCTAAAATTAAGAATGTGTCATTATTATGATTATCTATGTAATTTTGAACCCGATTGAAGAAGTCCGTCAATTGATTGAGGTGGTCCGGATTGTGTGGAATATAGGTACAAATTATAATCAGAGAGTTTGGCATAACCGCGGAAGTGCGCTGTGGCGGTGGCACTGAACAGTGTAAAAAGGGTGGCAATGAGCGCACACAAGGTCGCAGTCTCACTCACAGGGCCAGCGGCAGCAGGGCCAAGTGGTACACTCATCCACAACGCGTCGGCCAAAGCAGGCACGGGTTCGAGTCCCGTCTACTGCCTGTTCCGCGTGGACTTTTTGACGTGACAACGTCATATAATTTGATGGAGCCGGCTGCACGCAAAAACATGACTCATGCGGCATTACCTCGCTCTGAGGCGTTCCATTTAAGGCTTGAAGTGCAAGCGAGAGCGCGCAACGAGCGACAAAGAGGCACAATCGGCCGCAGCGTTCGACATCTGTCTCTCTCCTACTTGAGTGAGCGAAGCGTCCGCGTGGACAGCTGCTATACAATAATAGATTTACATGTTTTCGTCAAGTATGAAGTGCAGTGAAAAGTGAATGTGGTGTCATTTGTTTATAGCAACGATAATGATATCACACATGTTTAAAAGTTGTAAAACAATTGCTTAAAGCACATTCATACTTGTAAAAACTATGTACATTCTAAAAAAACGTCACGTTTAACTTTCGTCAGAAAACCACTTTACAGACAACAGATTTTTTCTAGTAAAATTTTCTTTAGATTTAAACATCGAGAAGTTACATGCTCAAAAAACATTAATCTGATGTTATCTGGGAGGACCTATACTTGGCTATTTGTTATTACTAAAATTATATCTTGTTTTTACATTACCACTTGGTCTTCCTAATAATAAATAAGAAATAAAATAAAGATAATCACCTTTTCGATGTTAACAAGACCGCTTCCCTGCGCCCAAGGCTCCACATGACTCAAATACGTGGCAGAATTCTCCAACGCCCGCTTTATAGAGTAAGGTGAGTAAGGTAAATTCTTCGCCTTTAAACCAGACACCAATGCCGCTGCGAATTAAGAAAAATATTTGTTGGTTACATAAATGACCTATGCCTGCCTAATTACATAGACTAGCTGCCCGCCCTCGCTTCGCTTCGGTGTAGAGCTGAAGTGTAGACTACAGTTTTTGTTCTCAGGCTTCTATTATACACTATGACATTCATCTATGATTCTTCTTATCACTGCTAGGGTACAGGCCTTCGCTATGGATGGAATAGGGAGATTGGGCAATAACCCACCACGCGGGCCCAGTGCGGATTGGCGGGTGCTAACGACTACAGATGCAGCCGGGACCAACGGCTTAACGTGTCTTCCGAAGCACGGAGGAACTCGAGATAGAACATTTTTGGTCACCCATCCAATGACCGACCACTGCGAAAGCTGCTTAACTTCAACGACCTGCGCCATCGAGCTCTTCAACTCCTCATACCTCACTACACATTTTTGTTTCCATCTACAACGTTTTTAATTTCCTACCCTGATGGTAAACACGTACACAAATCTCCTCGCGCGGTCGAGAGGTAGGGTATTGTTTTATCGGCCATTTTTGACAACTCGTTAGCGGTGGCTCCGTTCCTAAACTAAGCTACAAATGCAAATTTTCACTTTGACGTTTAAATTTTGACATAAAATGTAATAACTTTTGTCAATTTTCACATTTATCGTAGTGTTTGAACATGGGATGGAACATGGGGTATTCTGTGTACGACAGCCACGTGAGTGGTAGACGTCGTGTGTAGAGAAACATGTTTCAGATCTAAAGAAAAGTTTACTAGAAAAAAATCCACGCGGACCAGGCAGCGGACGGGACTCGAACCCGCACCCTTCGCAATCCGGGCGAATGCACTGACCATTATGCTACCACGGCCCTATTCGCCGCTTCGAAATTTTCCTAGCCTTAAGCTGCAAGGCGAGCTGCTGCAAGAGGTTCGAGTCCCGTCCGCTGCCTGGTCCGCGTGGATTTTTTCTAGTAAACTTTTCTTTAGATTTAAACATCTAGCAGTTAAATGTTTCAGAAACAAAGTTAAGTGTATGTATATTTGTTGAATATTTTCAAAAAACTTTTTCTGGTGACCCGACTTTAAGCTTGCTATGTTACTAAATCTTGTTGGTAAGTTAAATTTATGAGATTGAACTTTGAAATAAAGGATTTAACCTACACCTGCAACTTTTGATTGCTATGTGATTAAAATTAAATTATATCTCTCATTTTACACTCACTAGGACAATTTTCTATGTAAATTGAAATTTTTTTCCTAACATTCCAGGTAGCCCCTCGATTTCACTGACTTTCCCTGACGACTATTCATATACTCATACATATTCATGTCATCATTAATTCAGCACAAATTGCCCACGCTATTTTACTCACCAACTACGCCGGCGACGTGAGGCGCTGCCATAGAAGTGCCGTTCATTAGCTGTGAATTTCTTAATGTAAACCTGAAACAAAACAAGTGTTTGAGAATTATATTACGATAACCTGCGTACATATTACAACTTACGGCTTTACAGTAACTTCTGTGCATTCCAGTGCTTCTAAATGTGTACATATTTAGGATCCAAATTACTATTATCGTCGTCACGGGATAAGCTATTAAATAAGTAAGCAAAACTGAGCGGTTGTTAGCCGCACTTGCCACGGCAGCGCAAAGTTGTTTTATGTCAAATTTCACAAGATCACAGTTTTGAGCGGTTCCAGAAGTTCGTAATCTGAACAAGAAAAGATCGGGCAATGCCCGCCGAATCTTCAACGCGTGCCACCGATGGAAATCACGGCTATGAAATTTGCTATTGTGCATTACTTACAATTTCATTCTATGCGAGTTTTGGACTTGTGCGGGTTATGCGGGTGGAACGCGCTCAGTGAGTTCTTAGCCTCATCCGAAGAGAACCCCTCTTAGAGATTGCATACAAATGCACTTGTAAGCCTTGGTAAGTAAGTAGTATTACAGCATATGCGTGTGACACGTCTCCAGATTTTGACCAACAGGGATACATTGTTTCACCAAGTTTGTCATCCGAACGTGATGTCACGCTTACGTACCCAATCAAAACGCGGCGTATTTTCCCCGTACGCCACCAACGCAGCTGGCTAGTACCTGGCGACGGAGGTGACGGCGCCGCCGGGCGCGCACACGCTGACACCGCGCGCGCCGTCGGCCGCGGGCCCGCGCGATCTGCAGCTGGCTAGTACCTGGCGACGGAGGTGACGGCGCCGCCGGGCGCGCACACGCTGACACCGCGCGCGCCGTCGGCCGCGGGCCCGCGCGAGCTGCAGCTGGCTAGTACCTGGCGACGGAGGTGACGGCGCCGCCGGGCGCGCACACGCTGACACCGCGCGCGCCGTCGGCCGCGGGCCCGCGCGAGCTGCAGCTGGCTAGTACCTGGCGACGGAGGTGACGGCGCCGCCGGGCGCGCACACGCTGACACCGCGCGCGCCGTCGGCCGCGGGCCCGCGCGAGCTGCAGCTGGCTAGTACCTGGCGACGGAGGTGACGGCGCCGCCGGGCGCGCACACGCTGACACCGCGCGCGCCGTCGGCCGCGGGCCCGCGCGATCTGCAGCTGGCTAGTACCTGGCGACGGAGGTGACGGCGCCGCCGGGCGCGCACACGCTGACACCGCGCGCGCCGTCGGCCGCGGGCCCGCGCGAGCTGCAGCTGGCTAGTACCTGGCGACGGAGGTGACGGCGCCGCCGGGCGCGCACACGCTGACACCGCGCGCGCCGTCGGCCGCGGGCCCGCGCGAGCTGCAGCTGGCTAGTACCTGGCGACGGAGGTGACGGCGCCGCCGGGCGCGCACACGCTGACACCGCGCGCGCCGTCGGCCGCGGGCCCGCGCGAGCTGCAGCTGGCTAGTACCTGGCGACGGAGGTGACGGCGCCGCCGGGCGCGCACACGCTGACACCGCGCGCGCCGTCGGCCGCGGGCCCGCGCGAGCTGCAGCTGGCTAGTACCTGGCGACGGAGGTGACGGCGCCGCCGGGCGCGCACACGCTGACACCGCGCGCGCCGTCGGCCGCGGGCCCGCGCGAGCTGCAGCTGGCTAGTACCTGGCGACGGAGGTGACGGCGCCGCCGGGCGCGCACACGCTGACACCGCGCGCGCCGTCGGCCGCGGGCCCGCGCGAGCTGCAGCTGGCTAGTACCTGGCGACGGAGGTGACGGCGCCGCCGGGCGCGCACACGCTGACACCGCGCGCGCCGTCGGCCGCGGGCCCGCGCGATCTGCAGCTGGCTAGTACCTGGCGACGGAGGTGACGGCGCCGCCGGGCGCGCACACGCTGACACCGCGCGCGCCGTCGGCCGCGGGCCCGCGCGAGCTGCAGCTGGCTAGTACCTGGCGACGGAGGTGACGGCGCCGCCGGGCGCGCACACGCTGACACCGCGCGCGCCGTCGGCCGCGGGCCCGCGCGAGCTGCAGCTGGCTAGTACCTGGCGACGGAGGTGACGGCGCCGCCGGGCGCGCACACGCTGACACCGCGCGCGCCGTCGGCCGCGGGCCCGCGCGAGCTGCAGCTGGCTAGTACCTGGCGACGGAGGTGACGGCGCCGCCGGGCGCGCACACGCTGACACCGCGCGCGCCGTCGGCCGCGGGCCCGCGCGATTTGCAGCTGGCTAGTACCTGGCGACGGAGGTGACGGCGCCGCCGGGCGCGCACACGCTGACACCGCGCGCGCCGTCGGCCGCGGGCCCGCGCGAGCTGCAGCTGGCTAGTACCTGGCGACGGAGGTGACGGCGCCGCCGGGCGCGCACACGCTGACACCGCGCGCGCCGTCGGCCGCGGGCCCGCGCGAGCTGCAGCTGGCTAGTACCTGGCGACGGAGGTGACGGCGCCGCCGGGCGCGCACACGCTGACACCGCGCGCGCCGTCGGCCGCGGGCCCGCGCGAGCTGCAGCTGGCTAGTACCTGGCGACGGAGGTGACGGCGCCGCCGGGCGCGCACACGCTGACACCGCGCGCGCCGTCGGCCGCGGGCCCGCGCGAGCTGCAGCTGGCTAGTACCTGGCGACGGAGGTGACGGCGCCGCCGGGCGCGCACACGCTGACACCGCGCGCGCCGTCGGCCGCGGGCCCGCGCGAGCTGCAGCTGGCTAGTACCTGGCGACGGAGGTGACGGCGCCGCCGGGCGCGCACACGCTGACACCGCGCGCGCCGTCGGCCGCGGGCCCGCGCGAGCTGCAGCTGGCTAGTACCTGGCGACGGAGGTGACGGCGCCGCCGGGCGCGCACACGCTGACACCGCGCGCGCCGTCGGCCGCGGGCCCGCGCGAGCTGCAGCTGGCTAGTACCTGGCGACGGAGGTGACGGCGCCGCCGGGCGCGCACACGCTGACACCGCGCGCGCCGTCGGCCGCGGGTCCGCGCGAACTCCAGCTGAAAGCGCCACCGCCGAGCCGCGCGCGCATCGAGTACGCAGCCGACATCATCTCCGGCGACACATACGCACCGACACCTAAGCACGTTTTAATATTAACGATCTCCACGTAATATAACTATATGACGTCAATATTCTACTGATATCAACATTTTAATTTATCTTAGATAGTGCATGCATTGAGGAAGGCTATAGGCTATACAATATAACGCTACGACTGAAAGGTGCGGAGCGCCATTGAAAAAGCGAAAACTGCGTGTCTCAAAAAAAAAGAAATATCTCACCAATAAGTATGGGCTGCGCGATGTCCGGAGGCGCGCCTACTGTGCACAGCGCAGGCCCGTGGTTGCCGGCCGACACCACCCACGCGCACCCGTACCGGTTCACCACCGAGCATATGACGTCGCCCACGCGCCTAAACAACATTTTTTTTTTATTATGGTTCACCAACAAAAATAAATAAATTTTATAATAAATGCCATTTTTTAATTACATCCTATAAACTACAAATACAACCAGTGTGTCAGGCTGTCAGGCACACAGCGAGTCAACACTCACAAGTAATAACATGTTAATAGGATGTATTGTGCAGCATCTTGCACTTGATCAGTGAATTGTAAGTGTCAACCCATCACGTCAACATATCAATATCACCCTTGACCACCTTTTAGATGATAGGGATGACAGCTAACTTTTCCTTTGTCTATCAGGTAGATTATTAATTAGTACACAGGACACGTAATTTTTTTATTGAAATGTCCCATGACGTCACAGCTTGGTACAATTTTTACTTAGAAGTGACGACCCAAACTTTGACTCCCTTTATCTTTGTTATTTTTTACACTACTGAGCATAGGATCTCGCCAAAACATTCTCCTAATAATAAGTGCTTAGCACCCAGAAACTGATGTCGATACGAGCATATCACGTCACTCACGCGTCTCAACAACAACAATGGTGTCGATTCTGGCATGATTTTCTAAACCTAAACTTAAATTTGACAACAGTGTATCCTTGTCATTCTCTATACAGTATGAAAAGGAGAGACTGATATTAAATTTAGCTTTAAGTTTAGAGAATCACGCCAGAATCGACTCCAATATCACCCTTGAGCAACTTTTAGGATATTCATTGTGCCTAGCACCCGAAAAGTGATGTGGCTACACAATAGGTACCAAAGTGACTTCATAATAATATTTTAAATTTAGTTCCAAATATCTATCAATAGCAACTTTCAATTTATAGAAATTACAAGTTCTCATTTGTATATTACTAAGTATTTGAAAAAAAAAGACACGACTACTATAAAAATCTTTTAATTCCTGTTTTGGCAGTGCAATCATATTTTTAAGTACACATTTTAAAGACAACTAAAAAGGTCACACTGCTCAAGCTCAAAAGGGTTTTTCTCAATGAATTTTTACTTGTTGCTCAAATTACATTTTTAATTACTGCAAATTAAATTTTCTTACCCAGCGTTTGACCAGTGTGCATGTTCTCCATAACTCATGTTGATAACATCAATTTTCATCTTTTTTGAAAGTTCCATGACTTTAATACATGCTCGGACCAAAGCAGTGCCCGTCTCCATGGACCCCAGTCGACTGTCTCCAATAGTCAAGGAGACAATCTTAGCACCAGGAGCTACGCCGTTCAACTCAGGATTGTCCGGAAAGTAACCAGCAGCAATTGCCGCAACGTGTGTACCGTGGGTTGCTAATGAAAAAATTGTAGATGACAATAAAATTAAACAACTATAAAATTCCGATGGAAATTAAAAGAGAAAGCAACATAAATACAAATGAAATTCAAACAACATCTTATTAAAAAAGCATACTATTCGGTAAATGAATTTATGAACGATAAGTGAAACTGTCACAGAAGGCTCACTAACTTGTTTAAAACTGAAACTGTTTAATAGTTGTCTATATATGTAGATATTGTACTTGCAACACCCTGACAGGGTCATGTACCATTCTAAAATAATTGTTTAAGATCCTATACTGTACATGTGCAAATAATTAAATAAACAATAAAAAAACTTTCATAATATTATCTTATTCTATTAACTACAAGATGGAAATTTTTGATCTAATCTCAAGGTTAGGAAAATGAAAAACTGTATGGATAACATTCAAAAATAACAAAAAAAAAGTTAATTCACTACACATAAAACCATCTACATGTGCTAAACCGCAACAAAATTAAGTACAATGTAAAAATTCTAAACTGAGCTAAATTTTTCACCTGGGAGATGGTCAACAAAATAATTAAGGTAGAAGTATTCCAGATCTTAGAAACATTCAAGTAAAATTGTATTACAGTCTCCAATTGAGGACTGGCAGTGAAAGAAAAACATAAAATGCACCAGCTGCTGACTTGTAAATGAAAATAGTAAAAGCAAGGTAGGAGATATAATATGCCCTATACACAAAAACAATTGTAGGTGACAGCCTGAAAGCAGGTATTTATGTATTTCCAAAACTTCATTTTAGAAACAAAATAGATATTTAAATTTTCAACTTTAAAAAAGAATCATGCATAAAACTTTAAAGATCAAGACGTGAATTTCATGCAATCAAATTAAAAAGGAAAATATAACTTACAACACATTCCAACAACTTCAAGAGTTTGTCCCTCATCATGGACATTAATGCTGATAGTCATCTCGTCAAGTGGAGTTAATTGAGTGTGTTCCTGAGTAATGCTGTACTCTCCAAGAAATGGGCCAGATGCCAAATCTCCAGACTCTGATGTATCAATGCATGCACTGGTAATAGAAATAATAAAATATATTTAAGAACTTTCTTCAATTTCAATTAGAAATGAAAACATAGTTATAATTACTCTTCACAGGATAAAGTAGCTAGATCTCAAAACTTCAAAGTTGTTATTGCATTTGTTACTTAAACTTAACCTTACCGCCAGACTTTTCCATCATGAAAGAGAACACAATCATATGCAGGGCCAATATCACTATATTTTTTTTCTGCATTCTGAAGAAATTCAACTCTAGCTTCCAATTCTTCTTTTTGAAACTTTTCCATGAGGCTAAGATTGGAGCTCTTTGATGCTGCAATACAAATTAAGTACCTTTTCAGATTATAAAATTACAACTTGAAAATATTTTTATAACTAACTAGATATATCTACTGACTGACATTATTTTATTTCGTAAGTACACGCACACATATATACACACACAGATACACGCATACAAACACACACACACACAAAAACATACATTACACACCTATGTTGAAGCTACATAAAACAATAGAAAACATTGCTACAATGTAGATAATTTCAGCAACATCTATTATAAGCACTGATAGTAAAATTATGTATGAAATTATATAACTGTTCTTCTGTGTGGTTTTAAATTGTAATTGATAGAGTTCACCGATTTTAACGAAAAACTAAATGGGGAGGACGACATAGTTCAGTTAGCGGGGAAAACTTGGACAAGGCTGGCTAGCGAAAGGAAAAAGTGGTTTAATTGCAAATCTATTTCATGTACAGGCACCCGAGGCTTACATTCTTATTGCATGTAACGGCCAGCCACAACTTTAGTTTTTTGAAAATCCCTTGCAACCTAACTTTTCCGGGATAAAAATAGTCCTGTCTCAAACCAGGTCATAAACTATATGTGCACAAAATTTCATATAAATCCGTTCAGTAGTTTTTGTGTGATTGAGTCACAAACATAGAAATTGGACAACATAAATGTGTGCATGGTGATTATTTTGGTGTGGAGTTATTTTAAAACTATGATATCTCTTAATATATTTATTGAAATCAACTGAAGACAAGATAAATTTTGATCAAAATTACTTATGTTATGTGTTAATTTTGATAAGATATAATTATTATGTTGACAAAAACACATTTGCAAATAATGCATTATTTAAGAACAACTTTATTTACCAAAAAAAGTTATAGTGAATCAATCTTAAAAGATAGGCATATGCTATTGTGGAGTTTTTTAAAGAACTATTAAAGGAGAACAAAGTCCTCCTGCACGATTTTTGTGTAACTTTAACAGTTTATGCAAAGCATGCAACAAAAGCTCTTAAAGGATTTTTTTTTCGATTTTCGCAACATTTTTCATTGATGCTCCGCTCCTTCTAGTCTTATCATGATGTTATATAGCCTATAACCATCCTCGAATAGGCTATCTATCACAAAAAAATTTTTTCTATTTGATTCAGTAGTTCCTGAGATTTAAGGTAATCAACCAACCAAACAAACAAACAAACTTCAGCTTTATAATGTTAGTGTAGATTTAACATTCTTCCTTGGCAATCCATTATTGAATTAAAATAAACAAAACTCACAGCCGTCATTTTCATAGTCCTGTAAGCATTTGTTGGCTTCAGCAAATGCTGTCTTATGTCCAACATCCCAAATGTGTTCTTTGCGATGTTCCTGGATGCGCTCCTTGAGCTTTGTTGGGTATAAACTAAATGGATAAAGGATTCCAATACGCCAAGCACCTGATGGATTACTCCATGACTCAGGAATCTGTATAACAAAGCTTTTTTCATTACACACTTAAATTAATTAAAAAAATATATTAAAACTCATACACACATATTAATAAACAAGGAATAAGCTAAAGCCGCGTATCCACTAGAGGCAGCCTCGGGTCGAGCGGCTTCCTCACTCCGAGGCTGCGCAAGTGGAGACGCTGCCTCAACCTGAGGCACGCCGCGACGCGAGGCAAATTCGTCGCCGCGAGCCGAGGCATATTTTGTCGGTTTCTGTGCCGTGCTCAAAGGCGCCTCAGTCCGAGCCGTGTGTTTAATGGAGACGGTAGCTAAAATTTCGAAAACTATCGCCACCTTCCAACGTCATGTCCAATAGCACCATCCATCTATAGATCTATTGCGGTATAATTCTTTTATCCACCAGCGATGCTTCCTCTTTTGTATAGCTTTTTGTTGCCTCCTCTTTTTGTTAATAATGGTTCTTGCTATTAAAGCAGCAGCTCCTCGACGCGCGTCTGGTGCCAACGCGTTTTGGCTTTTAACTGCGCAGTGCGCTGCCAGCGGATCAAGCTGAGGCGACACGCCTCGAGCTGATCCGTAGCCATTGCCTCAGAGCGAGCAGCCTCAAACCGAGGCTATTTGCTTCAAGACGAGGCCGCTCGACGCGAGGCTGCCTCTAGTGGATACGCGGCTTTAGACTAGTTACGCCGTGTTTTGTTCACATTACTGAAATACCAATTCTCATTCAATAAACAGCGACAAAACATGGAGAAACTAATCCAAACTTATTCTTTGTTTATTAAAAAGGGGGCTAAGGCCCTACATGTACATAAGCAAATTATAATAATGTGTGATGTGTATATGACAATGAATGTTGACAGACAAAGACAACTCATAAAAAAGTTAGTTATAACTAATCATACAATTTTATAAAAATATTTGTACATTAGACATACATAGCAAGTTCTTAAATAAACAGCACTCTTCCCTTATAGCAATAAAATTAGATCCACTCTATAAAAAAAACTTTTGATTTGGATTCTCTATAAATACTGGATAAACTCTACTTCCTGGCCCTAAAAGTAAAAACTGCAGTTTTGATGGATGTAACTTGTACTTTTGTTAATGAAAAGATTTCCGTTAACCACATTATTAAACAAATTATCTCAACTTATGCACTAGTAGTTTTTTTAGAAAAAAACAACCTGTCCCAGCAAACTTCGTACCACCATAAAAAAGGGGATGTTGATAGAAGGGTGAAAATTTAGGGTTGTATGTATTTTTGTATGATATATCATAAAAAAATAAAAACAATAAATTTTGTCCAACCAAAAAAAAAAATAAAACAATAAAAAACAAATTTAAGGACCACCCTTAACATTTAGGGGGATGAAAAATAGGTGTTGTCAGGCCTACTCAATATGCATATAAAATTTCACAAAAATCAGTCAAGCTGTTTCAGAGTAGTACAATTATGCACACCGTGACACGAGAATGTTATATATTAGATATTGTAAAAATTTACTTTTCTTAGTAAGTAACACCATTTTGAAAATTAACATTTTTTTTTACAGTTTTTCAGTAGTCTATGAGGTAAAAGCCGAATTTTTTTATACAGCCATTGAATAAAAATTAAGCACCAAAATCCCTTAGAAAATCTATTAAAAGCTTTTAATTGTGTAATAATAGTAAATAAATAGTAATATTCTTTTCATTCACCTACTTTCTTTCTTTTTAATAGGTTTTTCTACACTGTGGTCTTGGTCCATCCTACCCCTAGTGATTCCCAGAGCCTGCAGCACCAGAGCTGTTACAGAAGTGAAGTGTATGATAAAAATATTTTGGTAGAAAACTTTAAAGACCCATACATTCCTCCTTCATGATACTTGCCTTCTACTATGCCTGACATATGGCTCACAAACTTGGACTTACACAAAAAAAAACGAAAGACAAAATCAGATCCACAATCCACACAAAGTGCAATGGAACGACTCATGCTAAAAAAGAGAAAATTAGATAAGATTCAAGCACACTAAAATTAGAGATTTTTTTTTTTTTTTTTTTTTTTTTATAGATAGGTCCGACAAATGAGTCCACCCCACCTGATGTTAAGTGAAGGTGAAGTCCAGACGTGACGATAGCTGATACAGCAGTTTTACCTGCCACACCAGCCATCCTCACCCTGCCGGCCTGCATGTTGCTTCTTCACGCCTCTTTTAAAGGATCCCAGGTTGTAAGAGGGAGGGAACACGTGAGCGGGCAGAGCATTCCATTTACGGATAGTGCGACAAAGAAATGAGTCACCAAATTTCTTTGTACGCGTTGGAATTGTGGCCACAGTTAGACGATGACAACGTAGGCCAGCGCGCGTGGTCCTCTGAAGGAAAGGAGAAGGTGGGATAAGAGAGAATAACTCCTCAGAACACTCGCCGTGGTACAGACGATAGAACGCGCTTAGTGACGCCACGTCACGGCGTAATTGAAGAGGCTCAAGGTGTTTAGTCACCTCCTCATCGCCTATGATGCGGATCGCTCGTCGCTGTAACCTATCCAAAGCATCGAGCAAGTACTTGGCGGAGCCATCCCAGAGGTGCGAGCAATATTCCACGCAGGACCGCACTTGCGTTTTGTACAACAGGCACAGTTGATCGGGCGTGAAAAAACGCCGCACCTTGTTCAGGACTCCGAGTTTGCGTGAAGCTGTTTTGATCACGGTTTCGATGTAGTTCTTTGGATTCAGGTCTGAGCGAACTTCCATACCGAGCATGGAAATGTTGCTCTGCAGCGGTAGTGTTGTGCCCTGAAGAGATGGAAGGGGAAGGAATGACGATGTTTTTGCCGTGAAAGCGCAAGCCTGAGTTTTTTTGGCATTGAACTCAACCAAGTTCCTGGTACCCCATTCGGAAATGTGGTCCAAAGCCTGATTGAGTTCAATGACAAGATTCTCGCGTTTCTCCTTGGTTACCGCCAGCCCAGCCGCTGCTTGTCCGAGATACCCCGCATGCACTGTACTATCGTCTGCATAGCAATGAATATTCCCAAGAGGAATTAAGTCATTGATATGCAGCAGAAAGAGAGTGGGGGATAGGACGGAGCCCTGGGGAACGCCGGCATTCACTGACATGAACCGCGAACTGCTACCATCCGTAAGGACACGAATTCTACGCTCATGCAGGAAGTCAGCTACCCAAGAACAGAACTGGGCTGGCAGACCGTATGCCGGAAGCTTGGAGAGAAGGCTTTTGTGCCAGACCCTGTCAAACGCCTTGGCAATGTCAAGGCTGATAGCCAACGACTCGCCACGCTTGTCGATAGCCTCACCCCAGATATGAGTTAAGTACGCTAGAAGATCACCCGTCGATCGTTTCGGTCTAAAACCATATTGACGATCATTAATCAAGGAGTGATCCTCTAGGTAGCGGGTCAGATGGTTATTAAGGACCTTTTCTAAAACTTTACATAAAACTGAGGTGACTGCTATTGGCCGGTAGTTTGCCGGGTCTGAGCGATCCCCTTTTTTGGGCACCGGTTGCACATTGGCATCTCTCCAAGTCTCCGGCACACGCCCCAAAGAATACGAGCATTGGTACAAGCGCGTGAGCACGGGAGACAACTCCGCTGCACATTTTTTGAGTACTACTGCTGGGATGCCATCAGGTCCACTAGCTTTCCGGACGTCGAGTGATTGCAATTCGGCACGAACCTCGCGCTGCCTGATTTTAATATCAGGCATCGTTGTGCCACAGTGAGGTAATGATGGTGGCAGTGCATTGCAATCATCGATTCGGGAGTTAGCCGCAAAGAGTTTTGCCAGTAAATCGGCTTTCTCCTGCGGCTTATGGGCTAGTGTTCCGTCTGGGCATCTCAGAGGTGGCAGCGAGGGCTCGCAGAAGTTTTTTTGCACGGCCTTGGCCAGACGCCAGTAGCTACGGGAGCCCGTAGGATGCGTCATAAGTTCCTGGCCAACACGTGCAACGCGCTGGGCATCCGCTCTAATGTAAGCCTTCTTACAGGCCTTGGAAGCAAAATTGTAGGCTGCTTTGAGTAAATCGACCTCGGGATCCTTGAGAGCGCGCCCTCTGATCCAAGCACGATATGCCGCTTGCTTACGCGAAGCAGCTTCAGCACAGTCGTGATTGAACCAGAGGTTACGCGTGCCCTTACTGATGAGATCAGAATGAGGAATATAGTATTCCATACCCATTATAATCTCCTCAGTAATGGCAACGGCACTGGCCGATAGGTCCCTGTCACTGAAGCAGCGCTGCTTCCAGGGGACGGACGCAAAATAGTCACGCATACCGTCCCAATCTGCCGACCCATAATGCCAGATACGGCGCTTGACCACTGCTGGACGCGGAGGCTTGGCCTGTGGTGCTTTGGCAGATATCAGGCAGTGGTCTGACGAGCCCAGGGGGGCTCTTACCACAACCTGATAGCCCTGTGGATGGGTCGTGAGCAGAAGGTCCAGTAAAGAAGGCGCTTGACTTGGAATATCTGGGATCCTGGTGGGCTGATCAACCAGTTGCTTCAAGTCATGCGTGAGAGCGAATGCGTGAGCGGAGATCCCTGCATGGTCAGTTTTGGAGGAACTTAACCACAAATTGTGGTGAGCATTAAAGTCCCCCAAAAACACCAATTCTGCATTGGGAAATTGTTCCTGCGCGTCATCTGCTGCCCGACTAAGGTGTTCAAAAAGTCGAGTTGTCTCAACATCGCCGGTGTGGGATCTGTAGAGACACACGTAAACTCTGGCCAGGGGGCCAGAGTCGACGTGTACCCCCAGCATGGAGAAGGAGGGATCTTCCAAGCAGCGGAGACGGCGACAACAAACATCCGCCCGAACATACAGGCATACACCGGCTTTCGCTTTGAAGGACTCTTCAAGCACGTAGCCGGGATAATTAAGGTAGCCTGTGTCAGCAGGCGGAAGTATTTGTGTCTCCGTCAGGAACAACAATGCTGGCCGTGCTGTCTCAAGATGGTGGTGGACAGCGTTGAGGTTAGAGTGGAGTCCGCGTATGTTGCAGAACTCGACCTCAAACAGCGTTGAAGGCGTGGGGGTGTGCACCGCTGAACGTCCAAACTTTGTTTTAGGAGCTGCCATTATGGAAGTGAAAAAGAGACGTGAAACGAGTGGACGTTGTCGCGACAAGACCGGGAAAATTAGGGAGGCATGTTTCCCCGAATGATTGCCTGCAGAGGATATACGCCGACCCGCCGGACGGAAGGGCCCCCGCACCCCCCCGGAAGTGGCCGCCGGGACCCCACGCCCCGGTCACCAACCGGCACGACGGTCCACCCCGAGATTATGCGTGACATGATGGGGCAGCCTCGCGAACTGGTTAGGAACGCTCGGGCCCCTGTACTGTGCCACGGGCGGCCAGCGGGACAGCCGTTTCTACGGGTCTCCCTGGCCGGCGGGTCGATGCAGTCCTCCCGGCATCGGTTCCACGGATGCCTAGCCCTGGACCGAATCCGTCGCGACAACCTCCACTCGAGCCCTGGTTGTACGCTGGCTGACCCCGAAACGCGCGAGAAGCACTTCACGGGTTTTTCACCATGCGCACGGTGGTAACAAACCAGGCGGGTGTTAGGCACCCTACCACCAGCAGAGCGGATGGAAGCTCCGATATCCCTTAGTCGCCTCTTACGACACCCACGGGAAGAGAAGGGGGAATAAAACTAATGCTGTTGACACTCTAACCTATGCACTCAAACTGAAGTGGAAATGGGCTGGCAGAATGGAGAGGACTATACGGAAAAAGGAAAATTGAAAGACCATATAAACGTTGAAGTGATGATATTATACAAACAGCAAACATTAACTGGACAAAATCAGCTCAAGCTAGGAAAGAATAGGAAAAACGGGAGGAGGCCTTCACCCAAAGAGGGATCCATGCACCTGAATAAAAACTAATACTACTAAATTAACAATCAAGAATTGCAACGAACAAACTAACAACTTTTTTCAAATGTAAATAACCTATATGGATCAAATAAAAGGCTTTATTATTATTATATTCCTCCTTTCTCTCTACTTTCCAATAACTAAAAATTGTTGGCCGCCAAAGAAATTCTCGATGGCTGTATGGTAATCTTGACATAAAAAACATAAAATCAAAAATAGAGCTGTATGTACTTTGTTTATTTTGAGTTATCTAAAAAAAAAGAGAATAACAAAAAAACAATGTAATTTCTCAAAATAGTGTTTTATATATTTACTTACTACAGAAATGCAGTAATTTTCTTGTACTTTAGAAAAGAATGGGGCTCAATAACCTTTCCAAAATAAAATAAAATTGTTACCTTCAACTTCCGACCGGTAAGGCCGGTGATACAACCGTCTGCAACTTCTTTTATAATCGTGCTAGTATCAACATCCCCACAACCGCTGCAGTCAAATCTCTCTATGACCTTTCTATCTCCGTTGGGAGTCACCTAAAAATTTAAATAAAATTATCAAAAAACAAAAAAATTACTAGTTTATATGAATTTGTGGCGGTGACAAGTCATTTTTTTACCTGCAAACCTGTCGCTGCAGGGTCCACTCCAGAGTCGAAAATGGCAATAACGGTATCCCTTCCATCATAGTTTGGATTCTTGTTTATAAATGAAACAACTCCAGTCTCTTTTTTCGGTAATAATCCCCAAATAGGAAAATCACAGTCATTCGGGACGTCTGCCATTTTTGATGATGATTCGATATTGAATGTTACTAGAAAGAAAATATGAGTCAACAGAATATTGCCACGTATAAGGCCCTTAGTCTACCAAAGTCTATTTATTTCATACAATCGGCCAACGAAGACGTCTATAATGCGCGATTTACACTACCCAATTTTACCCTTACCCTGACTAACGGTGGTTTAATGTGAGTTAGGGAGCTAGAGACCCGATCTAGGACGATCGGTGCGGTGTGCGGTGTAATAATTGCTTACCCCAGGTAGAAGCCACAACCAACCTTTCGATTGGTCCCTTAAAATTGAGTAGTGTAAATGCAGTTTAAGAACATTCGCGCGGGGATTGCGGAGAAAGGGAGGGGAGGTAGTAGTAGCCCCAAATCCGATCCCATACAGTGACTGTGACTGGTTTGCGGTCATTGATTATACCATAGGTTTAAGAGATACTCTTTGTTAAGAATCATTGTAAACGAGTAAACGACCTATCTGACAACCGGTTAATATTGTTTTTATTATGATCTGAAGTTTCTGTACATTAAAATACAATCAAATATTTTGTCATCATGTGGTTCGAAATAATTCCACCGTTATTAATCATTACAGCGGGTGTTGCAATACCTGGATACGGTTTATGGTGGGCGCATTACTTCGTTTTAGGCAATGTAAGATACTTCCCTAATATTTTTTTAGATATGCAATAACCTTATCTTAGTATACAGTCTTAGATAAATGATTGGTTTCGCTAGCGATCTACTAGATACCGACGGTTATAACTAATATATATACACACATTTGTTAGTGCTTGAGCTTAATGGATGTTGAACTTTAAAAAAAATGTTACCGAAAATTGAATTTGTTTATTAATTGTTCGCAAATATTCTTAAATATACTACTAACATTTTACTATGTGAATGAGTATACGGATGCATCGTATAGGCGTCGAAATCTACACAGCTTTATGTACATAATTCGCTGTGCACCACGACTAATGACTAAAATTAGGCCAGGCGCCGTGACAGTGTCAATTATTGCAAATATACAAAGTATAAATGGTTTATGCTGGCATGCTGTCGGACTATTTAAACCGCTGACTGTGCTTCTACGTTTGTTTGTTGGAGTTTGAGGCGAGCACCTCCCGGACTGGCCGATACATATGCGCCCCTGCACGACCAATTTGGCCGACCACCCAACGTGCACCCGTTTGAGCACAGGCGTGCGTTTCTTACCGCAAGACCGTGACGCGTGACCGTGACCGCGACGAGTATCGCCTCTTTCAGCCTAACACTTCCAAGTTGGACGGGGAGAGCGGGCTGAGCTGGTACTCGTACGCCCTCTCCGACCGCAGCCTCAAGGTAGCCATAAGAGGGCTACCCATCAACACCCAGCCGCACGAAATTGCAGAGGCCCTTACTACAAAGGGCTTTGCAGTGGAGCACACGAAGAGGCGAGGCGAGCAGGCCACCCCGGATGCATCTAATACGCTTCACTGAAAAGGACCCCAGACACCATCCCGGCCATCTTATCTCCTGAGTATGACCGGGATCACCATTGAGGCGTGGAGAGGGAAGAAGACCCCTGCGCAGTGCCACCGCTGCCAGGGTTTCCGCCCCTCCAGCAAGGGCTGTCACCGCTAGCCTGTGCGCTGCGGACTCAACGCCGCCACCGACTGCCCTCGCCCGCTTGCGCAATTTGCAACCTGCGCAAACTGTAAAGGCCCGCACCCCGCCAACCACAATTCGTGCCCTGTAATCCATCGTGAGGCACGAAACAGGAAGGCATCAACTATGGCGCGAACAAACTGGCCCATCTTAACGTCGCTTCAATAGAAAAGGTCGCCGAACGCGCAGCAAAGCGCCGACAGACACGACCACCGCCGCCCAACCACCCATCGCAGCCGCCACCCAACACCATGCCCCGATACAGGCCTTGCGAGACGCCATGAAACAGCTTCTCCATATAGCAGAGCAACAACAACTCCCTAATGGGTCTCACATAGTGGGCTTGACCGCGCTGAAGACGCCGCGCGGCGACGCGCGAGAAAAATACAACGAAGTGTCTACTATTTTGATTTGCATCCCCCCCCCCCCTCTATTAGTTCTGAAGCTAAATCTTACATTTGAAAGTTACCATATCACTTCTTACAATAATTTGTATTATATAAAATGCACAAATAAATATTTTTTCCGCATTAGAGCTGTTTCTATCCTAAGCCTATCGTTCATTCCACTCGATAACTCACCATTATTGGGCTGGTAACATCGCTGTACCGAATTTATATTATCTGTTGGCAACACAGAATTTGCTGTCATTCTCTGAATTACTGTTTTGGTATTTTGTCCATACTTTGTTCCATTTTTAAAAAGTATGTGGTACGAAATTCTTCCAAGTTTCTTCATTATAACGGCAGGTTTAGGTTTACCGGGATGGGGTCTTTACCACATACACAATCTTACTTTAGGAAATGTGAGTACATTATTATAACCTTATCTAAGTATTAGGTAACAATAAAAGAATACACCACAATACATAATAATAAATAACTATAGAATCCGTAACAGCTATAACACTTTTAAACACCGTGAAAATACTCTAAAACTTCACTAAACAAAGTAAGAAATTCTCTTTCCTTTTATTGTACTCTAAATAATATAGGTAACAGTATCAAGGTCTGCCGCGAATGGGATAACAAGGAATGAACGAATGACATCTAGAAAGTTATTTTTTTTTATAAATTTAAAGTAATAAACAAACAAAAGTTATGTTTTTAGTTTTGGTGCCTTGCAGCTTAAGGATAGGAAAATTTCGACGCGGCCATCAGGGCCGCAGTAGCATAATTGGTCAGTGCATTCGCCCGGATTGCGAAGGGTGCGGGTTCGAGTCCCGTCTGCTTGGTTTTTTTTATATTAAAACTTCTTCAAACAAAAGTTGTTATTCATCAAAACTAAATATTTATAATTAAAGAGAAGACAAATTAAGCCATCTGCCAATTTCAAAATTGTCTATTTTGAATTTTATAATACTAAATGCACTAAATTTTACCATAACAACTTAATAAAATGAACAAGAGATTATGCAATGCAAGTATCTCTCTCAGAACGTCATATAATATAAATGTTTCTACCTAAATGTTTTAAAGTTAGTCCATTTTTGCTTACTTATACACTTTACACTAATTATTTGTTACTGTGTCCTTTAGAAACAAAATAATCATTTGATTAGTCTATTTCAATTGCAAAGTATCTTTTGCTTATAGATATCTTACCTAATATCTATTCACTCGCGATTGGATGGTTTCATGAGAAAACCAATTGAGTGCACAGGTCAGACGACCAGAGTCGATTACTCAACAGTTTAGTCTAGATTTAGATCCTAAAGATTGAACAAATGAGTTATGTCTACATGAGACACTAGCATGCTGTTGCTCTGTCTGGTTGGGTTCGTACAGTGTTTGCTAAACAGCCTTATAGGCCAAATTCGATTTGGTTCTGCAAATTGTTTTAATTGACTAGCTTTAAAGGTTGAAAGTGATACAAAACCAACAAGTATATTACACATTCCAACTGGGGCCATTTCATTTTTCTTAATAAAAACATTCTTACTTTTTATAATTTATAGAATAAAAACATTGAGACTGTTTTTATTAACTTTTTCTTTTTGTTATTCCAGCATTATCGGCGCTCCCTCATTGATAGGTGGGATCGCAGTCTATACCAACGTGATATAAGGGTAACTGGTGACGCCTACGATGTCAATGTAAGTATTGACTAAGAAGCAGTTTAACAAATGCTTTTAAATGGTAATTTATTATAACTATAAAAAAATTAACTGTGATATTTTGTTTCAGGGGTTAGACTCCATCCCAGATAAATAAAATGATTGTGTGGCTTATAGAGCATAAATATCAATATTGATTGTTTATAAAATAAATTATTTAAGGATTCTTCTATCTTTCATTTAAAGAGGTTTTAAATATCTGTTAATTATTGTTAATTTAGCAATTGATACTTAAGAGTTCTGTTTACCTAAGAGTACCATTAAAGTTTCTTATCAGGGATCAAAGCATCCAAATGAGGATCCGTAACATTTTTAGTTGAGAATGCAGATTTACAGAGCTAAATATTCCATAAAATACTGTGGTAATATTTTTGATGTACGACAAATATTGACGGAGTTATGACCAAATTACTAAACGAATTTTCGCCTGGCCTCATGGTGGTTCAAGAATAAAATAGTTGGCTAGTTGGGAAATTACCTGTATTTTCATAACAAATAAAAAGCACAAATTACTGAAAAATCACTATTTATTACAGTAAATTTTAAAATCTTCCTCCAACCTAAACACACAATTGACTATGTCTTAAAAAGTTATGTTTTATGTAATAAATAGTAATTTTTCAGTAAATTGTGCTTTTTATTTGTTATGAAGATAAAGGTAATTTCTATTTGTAAGGTCAAATTAGTGGCGCCAAAAATTTTTTTTTGATTCCTCGCACGGGGTTATCCGAAAATACCCCATGTATGTTCCGCGATTTTTCTTAGTTTTCGAGTTATAATTTTATTTGTGTATTTTTAATGATTTCTGCCAGCGAGGTTTCAAAAATTCATAAATTTTTTCGTAGTAGGTATTTTGCAATCTTCTTTTTGTGACATAATTGTCTTGAATGTTGGTTTAGTAAAAAAAATAACTCTGCCTCCTGAAATTACTTAAAGTTACTCGAAAAAGGCTTGGAACTTCAGTTTTTATTAGGATTTACTCAAACATTAAACTTCAATATAAAAATACAGAAAATAATAAAAAGAGGAGTTTCCATAGCTTCTGGCTAAAATTAAAAACTCGGCATGCTTATAAACTACCGAAAACCATAAAAAAATGTACTTAATCAGTTTATTTTTGTTGTAATTGCCCTTCGAAGGCAGATAGACTAAAAATCATTGAAACACGATTAAAGCATTAAAAAAGATTTTATCTACTTTTTATCATTGTATGGTAAATTAAACTTTAAAATGGAAAATCAAATTAAATTTAATTGAAATTCCTGTAAAATAACTTTAGCATTTGAAATTTTATAATAATTTCGTCGGTTTCACCACTAAGATTTAAAATGTGAGCAAGAATAAAGATCAGAATAGCTCGTTGGGAAATTATCTGTTTTTTGATAAAAATAAAAAGCACAAATTACTGAAAAATGACTATTTATTAGAGTAAATTTTCAAAACTCCTTCTTCCAACCTGAATACACAATTGTCAAACACAAACAACGTCTTAAAAAGTTATGTTTAACTGTCTGAAGCTACTTGAATATTCTTGCTTTATTTTTCTTTCCGCTTCTGTAAGTTTTTGTCTCAATTCTTGTACGCATTTTAAATCTTAGTGGTGAACCCGAAATTATTGTAAAATTACACATGCTAAAGTTATTTCACAGGAATTTCAATTAAATTTAATTGTAAATTACATTTTTAAGTTTAATTTATCATACCAATGATAAAAAGTAGATAAAATAATTTTTAATGCTTTAATCATGTTTCAATGATTTTTAGCCTATCCGCCTTCGAAGGTCAAATACGACAAAAATAGACTTAATTAAGTACTTTTTTTTTGGTACGATAGAAGAAGCAGTGGTAGAAGCATGCCGAGTTTTTAATTTTAGTCAGCATCTATGGAAACTCCTTTTTATTATTAAATTGAAGTTGAATGTTTGAGTAAATCCTACTAAAAACTAAAATTCCAATTTTCAAGCCTTTATTGAGTAACTTTAAGTAATTTCAGGTAGCTGAGCTTTTTTTTTCTTATTAAAACAACATTCAAGACAATTATGTCACAAAAATAAAGACTGCAAAATACCTACTACGAAAAAAGATTTGAATTTTTGAAACCTCGCTGGCAGAAAGCATTAAAAATACAAAAAAAAAAATAGAACTCGAAAACTAAGAAAATTCGCGGAACATACATGGGGTATTTTCGAATACCGCCAGGTGCGAGGAATCTAAAAAAATGTTGAAGTCACTAATTGGACCATCCTGTATAACCAAGTTAAAGATATTCCCTTTTCTGCTCCTTGCCAATGTTTTCCTAAAGTATTTTTAATTAAACTTTTTATACGAATACGTATTTATTATACTATTAAATTTAATAATAAAGCTTTTCGTATATGTCAGTCGAGACGTAAATATTTTTCTTTCTCAAATCCTTAATAATTTTATATTAAATAAAAATAACATGTATTTTATTGAATACTTCCTAATTTATTCACAACATTTTTTTTACATATAAAATAAAATATTTACAATCACAAAACTAGAAAGAAACTTAATTATGTAGATGAATTTGAAATACTGTAGGCGGGCAGCCCTACCGCGTGTTTACGCCCCGCTCGGCCGTAGGCAGTTATTTCAAGGACAGGGCCGAGTCACAATATAATATAGATAGATAATGGTGCCAATTCTGACGTGATTCTCTAAACTTAAAACTAAATTTAACATCAGTCTCTCCTTTTCATTCTGTATAGAGAATGACAAGGATATACTGCTGTCAAATTTAAGTTTAGGATTAGAGAATCATGCTAGAATCGACACCAATATTACCGTGACGAAATTTAGTATCTTATCCTTTGATGGTGTCATATAAAACTGTTAGTAATTCTTCAAATAACGAAAATTCGAAATAGGCGAAAAATGTATCTTGGTACTTCTTCAGCTCTTAAAAACAACTTGCGAACTGGCCTGTATTCATTGCGTGTTTCTAGTAAAAGATGAATCCAGTATCTTTTTTTCTTCATTCATAGTTTTCGGGATTAAAAACAAAAAACGCGCCTTCGAGCGGTCCAACCCCCATAAAGTGGTTCCTTCGCGGCTAACCGCTAAGCGATTGAACCGCTCAAACGACCCGCATACGCGACCAATAATCGCTTGTGCGTAACGGGTACATAGGTAACGTGCATAAGTTGTAAACAAGTACAGATGTCGTTGCACTTTCTTCCTTACGCCGCATTGCATAAGGCTCATATAAGAATGAGCCGCACCACTCAACCTTTATTGCGAACATTCACGTCGCGATCCGCGGTGTTCTGGTAAAATCTGTGTCCAGTATTTTCGAGGTTTTGTTTCAAAAGACAACATTTTCCATGTATTTCCCTAATTAAATATTGGGGGTTTCACATATTGCGAAATCCTTCGTCCATGTTTTTACATTTTGGTGACAGATGAGTGGCAGTTGATCTCTTTCTTTCGTTCGCAAGCTCTGATTATATGATTCCTTATTCAGAGTTCGCAAGCCATTAGTGTTCATAACAATTTACCAAAATTCATTGGATCAAAATATTTAATTTTATACCGGGAGCAATCACAGAAAAAATCATTTTTTTAGTCTTCTCATTTTCTTACATTCACAACCACAGCATTTAGAAAACTTATCCTTTTGAAGGTTAGTACTGCTGTGAAGATTATAAAATAAGCATGGCGTCTAAATACGTTACGGTTCAAACACATACTTAATAAATATTTTTGCAGTTTGTAGGTAAATCAGCTATCCTGCTTACCCCTCATAAAAATATTTTAATTGACATTTATACCCCCTATTTGGGCACAGGTACAGTACAGTCCTTCGTGGCCATAATTAGCGCCATAGCGGATCCCCGAATGCTAACGACTGCAGATACAGCCAAGACAAACAGTTCATCGTGCTTCCGAAGCACGGAGCAGTTCGAGGTAGTAAAATTATTGCCAGCAATCCTATTTCCGACCAATACTTCCACTATTGTGGACAGAACCCGCTAATAATCTAACTTGCATATCATTAAACATTATTATTTTATCCAGTGGCGTAACTATACCGTTCGAGGCCCGTGGCAAATTCATCGAATGGGCCCTCCCACTTCCCCAATATATAAAGAAGGTGAACCAACAACAATAGTATTTTTTATTTTATAATATTTATTTATACACTTTTATTTGTAAGAGTCAACTAATAAATCACTACGTGAAGTAGGTACATACAAACTTTATAATTATAATTTCTTGATTTTCTAATTATTCACTTTTAATTAAAGGTACCTAATTTAAAGTACATATTGAACTGAAATCACAATTTTATTTTAAGTACACAATTGTAATGATTAAAATTCCTTTCTTCGGATTTTCTGTTCAGCAAAAGTGTTAATGACATCATCAAAGTTCAAATTTCGGGCCATAGAATTTTCGATGGATAGAATAGCCAAATTGCTTAACCTTTCTTGTCCCATAGAATTTCTTAAATAAGTTTTTATCAATTTCAGTTTTGAAAATGATCGCTCGGCACTAGCCGTAGTTACAGGAATGGTGAGAAATAACAGAAATGCAGTGCACACTTCAGGAAAGCTTGAAGATATAAAATGATTCTTTATTATTAATAAGTCAGCAAGTTCTCTTAAAGAAGATGACCTTTCTATTTCGTGTTTAAAAGAGGATCGAAAACTGAAAATTTCTTTGGAAAACGACGTAGATATATCTTTTTTATATAAATGGACAAATGCTAAAGCCTTTTCCAATAAATCAGTATCATTTAAGTTTTGCAAAGTGGCAGGCTGCAAGACACTAAAATTGAAAACAATTTCATTCATTCCAAGGAAACGCGATCTAAGTTGATTAATGATGATGTCTAATACACGATAGAATACGTTCACTTTAAACAAGCTTTCAGGATCTTGGAGACGTTCATCCTCACAAATTTCATCAAAATGACGTTTCACTTTTCTCTGACGAGTTTTAGGAAATTCAGGGTTTATAGACCATTTAACTGCAATACTATTTGCTTCCGTTTTTAAATCTTCAAATTCATGTCGATACTTTTCAAGTTCTTCTAGACAGACTTGCAAACGCTTTGAAGCATTTGAAAGATCGATGGCTTTAGATTGAAGTGCTTTAGAAGCCGCGTCTATGGTTTGTAAGACTTTGCAATGGAAAACCAGCAACATAATAAAATTGTAGTTCTCTACCTTCTTCTTTAGCAAGATAGCTTCATTTCTCTCATCTGATTTGGAATTTGATAAAATGGTTTTTGTTAGCGCTTTTTGAACATCAACAAATCGAACTTTTAAAGCAAACATGGCATCAAAGCGTCCTGCCCATCTAGTTGGATTCATTGTTTTTAATGTTACTGAATTTGATGATACAACGGTTTCTCCTTTTTTGTTGTCAGATATAAAACTAGATAATATATTCCATCGTCTAATACTATGGCCAAAAAAATTATAAATTTGTTGCACAGTTTCGAATAATGTTTGTATTTCTATGACCTCTTTTACTGCATCATTTACTACCAAGTTTAAATTATGAGCAGCACAATGGATATACACTGCATTTGGCTCTATATCTCTTATGAGTTTTTGAACTCCGCCATAAGTACCTTTCATGGTATTAGCTCCATCGTACCCTTGTCCACGGCACTTATTCAGAGAAATACTTTTGTCATTTATGGATTTTATTATCTGCTTGGACATTGCTAAGGCAGTTTGATCCTTAACCTTATGAAATCCTAAAAATGACTCTTTAATTACGAGCGCCTTTAGAGTTCCATTTTCATCTTTCTCGATTACACAGTAACGGTAAAGTTCACACAATTGATCTGTTTTGGAAATATCTTGAGTAGTATCAAACAAAATGGAATAAAACGGTGCGGTGACTATTTCATTTACCAGAGCATTTTCCACTTTTTGAACCAGAACAGCAATGAGCTCATTTTGTATTTTTGGACTTAAGTATTTAATCTGGCCCTTAGGTTTGCTTAGCAACTCTTGTAAAATAGGATCGTATTTGGCTTATAACTCAACAATACTCAAAAAATTTCCTTTTGGACCAGAATCGTTGCCATATACCGTTTCTTTATGGCCACGAAAAGCTAAATTACAGGTTGAAAGTGTCAGAGTAACATCAAGGAGTCTAGTGAGTACCTGGCGCCAAAAAAAATTTTCTCTCTTGATAATGGACTCTTGCTCTTCATCTAGTGTTCCATGTAACTGCCACTGTCGATGTACAAAACATGAATGCAAATGTTCTTTCGATGTCTCATGTCTTTCTATGGCTTCCACAATATGTTTCCAATCATCATAGCCTTCCATCCAAATATTTTGTATATTTTTAGATGCCCTATTTGCGAATAACCAACATGGTTCACAATATGCTTTTTGAAGCAATAGAGAATAGGACAGCCATGTACGTTCTAACTTTACGCCAGATTTAGAAACAGTGTAATAATATTTATCTAAGAAAGATCTATTGTTACTATCCCTTAAAAAGGGGCCTTTTGGTTTACAGTGTCCGTTTTCGATCACAAACCGTTTTACTTGATCATTGAGTTCTTTAAAGTTACCTTTATCAGTAACATGCGGTAAAGATTTCAATTTTTCTATGTCCAAACATGATTGATTTAAAGATTTGCTCGTACCTGGTTGTGGTTGCTCTGAATCTAAATATTCACTGTTATCGGGCCCTGCGATATTGCCACTTATGTCATCATTTTCTGCCTTTCCGTCGCGCTGTTCATTTGATTCTTCTTGTATACTATCTTGATTATTAAAGTACTGACTTATTTTAGGTAATTTTTTATTTTGTTCTTCAGACTCCTTCTTTCGCTTTCGTTTTTCGCTTCCACTCTGATACTTTCTAGAACAAAACCGCAAAAAGTTTGTAATAATACTATAGTTTTTATTTATTGAAAAATTTACTTAATTGCTAACAAATGCCAAAAAAGCGACCGTAAAAATGTTTATAACGAAAGTCCACCGATTGTTCAAAGTTCAATTCAAGTGTCAAATTTTGTAAGTTTTGAAAAAACGATGAACATAGGTACCGAAATAGTTTTGGTGGTTACGAATGTCAAAATAGTGAATTGATTTTGAAATGCGCGATGAGAATTATTATTTTAAATAATAATTTCGTAACTTGTGATTTCAAACTTTACTACCGATACCTACCGACGATGTTAATGATTAATTTTATGGGTAGATTAAAAATTAAAATAATTGTAATAGTATAAATTATTTTAAATATTAGAATAAAATTCTTACCAAGTAGACATTGTCAACCTATTTTCACAATAAACTAATTAAATATATCCTCACTTGCAACAAACAACCAATTCTTACAACAATAAACTGCTAATTGCTTGGTGAGTTCTTGCGTAATACAATAGTGGAGTTTTTCATATATACAAACTCGAATCGGGGATTCCCCAAGCATCAACAAGTATTACCAACATAAATTTTAAGCAGTGTTGCCTTTTGAGAAAGAAAAAAATACACCAAACTCATTTCAAAATTGCGCTAAATTTTGTGTTTTTGTTTTTATGTGAATTTATTTAACCATTATTAATAATGGTTTAGTCATTTTCTTCAAACCGTGTTCAGGCAACATAAAAGTGTGGCAATTTTTCTTAAGAACTTTCAACTGATGACGTATCATTATAATTGAACTCTGTTAGTAAAATCAGAGACAGTCATAACATAACACTTTAATGTAAAAAAGAGACAAAATAATAAACGCATCAATAACATTGTGGTCGGGGAATACTAAATCCTTTGGGGAATTCCCAGCTCGTTATTTTCCTAACGTTTTACGACTCTGGCAATTAAGTTATTGGCTTAAATTTACGATCGTCAATAATTTTTACAATTTTCTACTAGATTCCGAAAAATATTTTTTAGCGCATTGTATTGAGAAAAAAAGCGCTGAAGAGTTTAGAATTGCACTATCTAGCGCGAAATGCGCTAAAACGGCAACACTGATTTTAATGCCGGCAGTATACCTAGTCTCAGCGAGACACCCTGAGACATGCCCAGTGAATATAAATGTAAACCAATATACACATTTTTGAGGTATGTTTGTACACACATGTTTCCGAAATTATTACGAGTAATTGGATTTTGACCATTCTTTCTAAAACTGGGTTAAATTTTTTTTTTACTAATGCATTGAAAGTTTAATACCTAGGTATATTTTTTTTACTTGTGTATGCAACTAAGAAGGTAACAAATAAATTAAAGACAAAACTTTTTTTTTACTTAAGTAATGTGTATGTGTAATAATAAATGTTGGGAATTGAGATTTCCTCTGACCGGGGGCCCCTTCGGGCTGGGGGCCCGTGGCATTTTGTCGACTTGCCACCCTATAGTTACGCCACTGATTTTATCAGTACTTGATGGTCTGTATGCTATATGTAATTACTTTTTGTTGCAGATTGCTTTCGCTTTTCTGTTATCATGAGTAAGTTTAATAGATAGTTATTTAATAAAATTGAGATATATTTTATTTGCTTGCTCTTTGCCTCATGATCTATTTTAATTTAGGTAATTTGGAGCAGTGCCATAGTTTTTACGGCAAGGATTCACTTAAGGATTCTCTACAGTCGGAAGCGATTTGGAAATCTGATGTTAATATATCTGCCAACATAGGCATAAAGTCCGGTAAACGTGGCCAGTATGATGATTCTAAATGTTGCTCAAGCTATAGGAACTGTCGCCCCGTCGATAGCTATTATAAAAAATATGAACATGATGTTGTCCCAATTAAAGAAAATTCCAAATTAGTTAACCCTGAGTTTCACGAGATCGAAGCCGGGGACAGTAGTAAGATCTTAACTAATTCTGAATTAGAAAAGTTAGAGAAGAAAATCTATAACACTATGTCCAAAGAACTCCAAACAGACGATTCATCAATTAGCAGCTTACAGTCTAATATACAATTAAAATGTTTCAAGGCGACATTTCTGAAGATTTTTGATAACTTCTACACTAGTATGAGAGATATCGAAACTTACAAAAGTAGATTAGAAGAAATTTTATCAAAAAATAAAGTAGACGCCGTAAATGAAATGGAGTCATTTATAGAGGACGTTTTTAATCACATTATGTCTTCAGATTCCAATATAAGACAAGAGAACCGGAACAGTGTGGAAAATCTTACAACGGAAATCAAAGACAAAGATGTTACTGGCATGCATTCGACGACAAGCAGTACCACGAATAGACAGACTTTGAATCTTTTGGAAAGCTTGCATTCAGTCGTGGAAGCTTACAAAAGAGATAATTATCAATACGATTGTCCATCAGAGGATGCTTTATTAAATACTAGCACCAAGAAAGAAGAAATATTAAACATCTATGTGCAAGGTGGGGCGCCATATTTACATATTACAATGAATGATCGTAATTTATTATCAGAGACAAACAAATACTCTAACAATGAGAAGGAGCATCGTCCTATCGCATCAGCAGATAATCTAAAAATGCTTGCAGCAAAGAAACAACAAATTGAATATGAATATAATCAGGTTGAGTCTTTGTCCATTGATCGAGAGATACCTGTCAAAGCATCATTTGCTAAGAAAAATATTTGTCTTGACGAAGATTTTACACATGTTCGAGAGAAAGATGAAAATAAGTCGTTTATATCTAAAATTTGCAATTATATTTGCAAGAAACTTCGCAGAACATGAAAGTATTCTCAGAATGATTTTTAAAATGAAATTCATTTATGTAATTTGTTGTTTTATTATGGACTAGACGAATTTATATAAATACAGGAACAAATTATCACGTTAGAACATTATCTTCAAAATTAATTATATAATACCATTTGATTCTAGTTACGTGCTTGCAAAGTTGAACAGCAAATTCATTTTTCATATGCAGAAAGTCTTTTAATGTCTGTAAATCAAGCATGATAAAAGCCTCGCCATCTATTTCTTCTTGTTTCATCTTCTCTGCTACGAGACTACAATCATCTGTGCTCTTTAAGTAAGTGTAAACATCATCTACAGACCATTCCAAGGGATTCGGAGACAGTTTGAGCTTGCCCTTTGTCCATGTCATGGCAGTATCTTTTTCAAACTTTTTATTATCTGATGGTAAAGGATCGTTTTGTGTGAATTTGAGTTTCTTCAACTCGGGCTCCTCAGAATCTGACACATCTGATATATTCTTAGCATCTCTAGAATTAGAGCTACTTTCGTTTGTTTCATTTTCCGAGTCGATTTCAGGTGAAACTCGTTTCCTAGCAGCACAGCTATTGCTATAAATCGTTTGTACGTCTTTTTTATCCCAATGAGCTTCCTTCATTTGGAGTGCAAAGTTTGGTAATTTCGCTCCTCTAGTCTTCATCTCCATCTTTGGATAGACATTTTTCGGTTCTCTTTTTCTCCGTTGGCTTCTTTTATATTCTGCGGCACTGTCATCCGGTGAGTTCGGTCTAGTGCCCGACTCCGAGGGTGGTGTTGAGCCAACACTATGTTCACTGGCAGATTCATCTTTATTACTCTCAGTTTCCTGCGAAGGTTGGGGTTCCTTTTCACGTTTTTCTTGAGTAGTCTTTTTCTTCTTTCTCTTTCCATTTGCACCTTTCGGCCTCCCTCGACGTTCTGTTAAATTGTCTGTAAACAAGCATAAATTCTATAAAAGATATAAGGGAGAGGAGGTTTGGCATGCTTTAGCTAGAGATATCAACAGTGGTGACATAAGTTTTTTTTTATGTGAAATGGGTGTTAAACAATATGGCCCGCCTGATGAAAAGCAGGTACCATAGCCTACAGACGTTTGCAATACGAGAGTAGATAGCACTCGCGTTTTTCCTGCCCTGACTCCCTCCTTGACCGTTATATGACCGAGTGCAAATGTGCTGAGTCAGCTCTAATTGTATGGCGATTCACTTTGTAACGGAACGCGTTTGTAATGGGGCGTGGGAAGCACTTTACAATTCTCAAGTTGCAAGTGATATTCATGGTAGGTGGACTTGGACAGAAACACAAAATCAGCAAAAGGTAGTGTTTTATAAACTGTGGTCTCCTCATCTTCTATTAGATATGCGGTTATGCCCGCAATGCTTAAGTTGCAAGTGATACTCCTGGACAAGGGCGTAGTTAGGCAGAAGCAAGGTCTAGAAACTTCTCTGTCAACTTCTCGAAATTTAATTGGAGAGTAAAAAAAAATGTCTTACAGTTTATAAATCAATTTTGGAATGAAATTTGGTTCGACTGGGTGGCTACTTCCCCCTTGTAATATATCCCTAGCTACACTAATGCCAATATGCCTATGTTGCTGATACTCACAGAAGGTGGACTTGTCGACGTGCTGGCAGTTGTTTGTACAGCGGTCGAGATCTCCGCGGGCCCGAACAGGCTGGGGCACGCCTGCAGCTGGCCGCAATCACTGTGTGAGTCTTCTGTCAGTCGGAGCGAGTGATACTCACGGAAGGTGGACTTGTTGACGTGCTGGCAGTTGTTTGGGCAGCGGTCGGAGATCTCCGCGGGTCCAAACAGGCTGGGGCACACCTACAGCTGGCCGCTATCACTGTGTCAGTCTGTCAGTCGGAGCGAGTGATACTCACGGAAGGTGGACTTGTCGACATGCTGGCAGTTGTTTGGGCAGCGGTCGGAGATCTCCGCGGGCCCGAACAGGCTGGGGCACGCCTGCAGCTGGCCGCTATCACTGTGTCAGTCTGTCAGTCGGAGCGAGTGATACTCACGGAATGTGGACTTGTCGACGTGCTGGCAGTTGTTTGGGCAGCGGTCGGAGATCTCCGCGGGCCCGAACAGGCTAGGGCACGCCTACAGCTGGCCGCTATCACTGTGTCAGTCTGTCAGTCGGAGCGAGTGATACTCACGGTAGGTAGATTTATCGACGTGCTGGCAGTTATTTGGGCAGCGGTCGGAGATCTCCGCGGGCCCGAACAGACTGGGGCACGCCTGCAGCTGGCCGCTATCACTGTGTCAGTCTGTCAGTCGGAGCGAGTGATACTCACGGAAGGTGGACTTGTCGACGTGCTGGCAATTGTTTGGGCAGCGGTCGGAGATCTCCGCGGGCCCGAACAGACTGGGGCACGCCTGCAGCTGGCCGCTATCACTGTGTCAGTCTGTCAGTCGGAGCGAGTGATACTCACGGAAGGTGGACTTGTCGACGTGCTGGCAATTGTTTGGGCAGCGGTCGGAGATCTCCGCGGGCCCGAACAGACTGGGGCACGCCTGCAGCTGACCGCTATCACTGTGTCAGTCTGTCAGTCGGAGCGAGTGATACTCACGGAAGGTGGACTTGTCGACGTGCTGGCAATTGTTTGGGCAGCGGTCGGAGATCTCCGCGGGCCCGAACAGACTGGGGCACGCCTGCAGCTGGCCGCTATCACTGTGTCAGTCTGTCAGTCGGAGCGAGTGATACTCACGGAAGGTGGACTTGTCGACGTGCTGGCAGTTATTTGGGCAGCGGTCGGAGATCTCCGCGGGCCCGAACAGACTGGGGCACGCCTGCAGTTGGCCGCACACGCTTCGACAGAAAAGCGCCACCTGCGATGCGCTCGTCGCTACCGGCACGTACGCGTGATACGTGCTCGTCTTCAATCTGTATGGACGAACGTTGTGAATCTTAGACATAGAAAACGGACTGAGCGTTCCCTTACACTGGTGGCTTTCAGACAAGCGGCCAGCCTTCGATTCAACGAACAGTAACGCTATTATATACAGGGTGGTCCAATTAGTGACAACATTTTTTTTTAGATTCCTCGCGCGATTTTTCTTAGTTTTCGAGTTATATTTTTTTTTGTGTATTTATAATAATTTCTGCCAGCGATAGATGCTAAAGTTATTTAACAGGAATTTCAATTAAATTTAATTTGAAATTACTTCTTTAAGTTAAATTTACCATAACAATGATAAAAAGTAGATAAAATAATTTTTAATGCTTTAATCGTGTTTCAATGATTTATAGCCTATCCGCCTTTGAAGGCCAATTACAACAAAAATAGGCTGCTTAAGTACATTTTTTTTCATCTTTTTTGGTAGTTTAGGAGCATGTGGAGTTTTTAATTTTAGCCAGAAACTATGGAAACTCCTTTTTATTATTAAATTGAAGTTGAATGTTTGAGTAAATCCTACTAAAAACTAAAGTTCCAACTTTCAAGCCCCTTTTGAGTAACTTTAAGTAATTTCAGGAAGCTGAGTTATTTGTTTTTATTAAAACAACATTCAAGACAATTATGTCACAAAAAAAAAGACTGCAAAATACCTACTACGAAAAAAGATTTGAATTTTTGAAACCTCGCTGGCAGAAATCATTAAAAATACACAAAAAAAATAGAACTCGAAAACTAAGAAAAATCGCGGAACATACAGGGGGTATTTTCGGATACCCCCAGGTGCGAGGAATCTAAAAAAAATTGTTGACGTCACTAATTGGACCATTCTGTATAATACTAATGGCCCGCCCTAGCTTCGCTTCGGTGTAGACTATAGGTATTGTTGTCAGACTTGTATTATAACTTGTTTATCAGGGATAAATATTCGTCCAGTAGTTTCGGAGCCTATTCAATACAAACAATCAAATCTTTAATCTTTATAATATTAGTATAGATAATATTATAAAGCTGAAGAGTTTAGTTGATGGCGCCTATCTCAGGAACTCTGCCAAAAACTCGTTTGGGAATGAATCACCTAGTGAATTCTTTAGAGTGTCAACGTGGAGGAAGCAGAAATGTTTGGTCAGGGAAGCAAGTTTAATGAGTCAGACTATAAGAACTTCGGTTGTTTTACAATCGGCTTTAAAAAAATGGTCATTAATAATACGCAAACACAAGTTTCAACAGAATAATTGGAAAATGATGGAACTACTTATGTTTGTTTTCTCGCTAGTTTAATTTTAAATATTGTTATTTGTTAATAACCTATATATATATATAATAATAACCTATTGTTATTTGTTAAATATTGAATTGAGTAATAACACTTTAATAATGGAAAACTATCAAAAGTTTAATAAGTCACGTTTTGCTGCATCGCGTGATGCATGTTCGTCTAACTGATACGCCATCTTTATCAATACGTAGTTGTCGCAAAAGTTAAATCAACTTAAAATAATATCGAGGGCCTAGTGAACGCCACGCCTACACGGGAAGCAAATGTTAAAGCACGTATTCATGTGCACTGTGCGTGTTTAAAATAAAATTTACTAAATACACATTGTAACATTTAAAAATAATCAGGAATCACACTAATATTATAAAGGCGAAAGTTTGTAAGTGTGTGTTTGTTACTTCTTCACGTCTAAATGGCTGGAGCGATTTTAATAAAATTTGGTATGGAGTTTGCTGACACCCTGGATTAACACATGGACTACGTTTTACTGCGGAAAAATAACCCCTCATAACCCGCGGGGCACAGCTAGTCCATAATAATTTGGATATATTTTATTACATAAAATATATACAGCAAAAGCACAGTTGATGTAAATATGTAAATAAAATAAATGTGTGCTAGTTTGTTGATATCGAGACAAATTAAGTCTTTTTTATATATTTTTACTAGATTATTTCATAAAATAAAGTAAATATAAAAAGACAAATAAATACAATAGTTATATAAGAAAAAAATTATACACACTTTGCTCGTAACATTTCCAGCCTCATCCCCTCCTCAGGCGGTCCTTCAGTCTCCCAGTCCTTTAGTAACTTTGCTGGTTTATATGATGCAGATATTATTTTATTAAGCACTTCCTTCAAAACTAAAGATAGTGGTCCAGGACCAACATGCTTTGGAAGCTGTGATAGTTTATTTCTGCTGATCGAAGGACCAGAGTAGCATTTGTAATTGAAAAATATCCTGTCACACCACTCATCTTGTGACTTAATGTCCTCGTTTATGTTCCTATTTTCTTCGACAGGTTTCAGTGGTTCTTTGTTCACAGTCGACATGTCTGGAATATGCAATGCATAATTGTTACTATCACACCAGCCGACTGGGAATAGTAGGTCGCTGTTTTGTGCATACCAAAATTTTTCGCCTATAGGCATAAGTTCCACACACACCATATGCTCTACAACAGAATGTACAGAAGCAACATGTATTTCCTCATGATTCTGTGGATTCACAGCTTCCAGTTTCATATTAACCTCAAACCCTTTTAAAGGCTCCTTCGTGCCAAAACAATATTCAGGTGCTGGAACTGACGAAGTCATAGAAAGGTATTCGTCCCAATCGAAAGATTCTTCTTTCCATATCTTGGGTGCTTTGAAAGTAATGGAATTCTTTTCTGCCCACCCAATCGGAAAAATATATGGATGCATGGAATCACAGAGCCTCGCCATTTTGGTATCCTCGTAATCTTCTAGGTGGTCATCTAAAACAACTAAAAAGTGAAAGTTGTTGAAAACTTTAGTGACAGTTGCTGGTCGGATAGTTTTCATGTCTTGTGGATCCAATGCTTCCACCTTCATGCCAGTTACAAAATTGTGCACTTCCAAACTCGGCATAGGCTGGGAAAATAAAGGAAAAGTTTAATTGTAAGACCAGAAAACAGCACCCTCTCTAATAACAACTTGATTGTTATATTTTTTTATTTTTTAAGCATTAAACTAGATGTTTAAATCTAAAGAAAATTTTACTAGGAAAAATTCCACCCAGACCAGGCAGCAGACGGGACTCGACCGTACCCTTCGCTAGCCGGGCGAGTGCACTGACCATTATGCAACCGCGGCCGTGTCGAATTTTCTCTAGCCTTTCCTAAGCTGCAAGGCAGCGCCATCTCTTCCCTTGATTGTGGGTTTTACCTGGAATAAATCTGGGGGTGTCGGTTCTTTGATGGACTCTTCAGCACATTGTCGCAGTTGAGTGCTAAGCTTATTTTTACATGAAAACTTGTTGATTTTGCTTGGATATTTGAACTGCCAAGGGGAACCCTACAAAAGGAAAATATTAAGGATAATTATAACGTATATGTTAGTTTACAGAATAAACACATTTCATAAAAATGATTTTACCTTGTTTGTGACATATCCAAAACTACACAACCGAGGATTAGAGAAGAATATCCAGAATTGTGGTAAATCTTCATCAGAACCATCATAATGTAGCATCAGTCTGCCACCAACATTTTCCTTAACCTAAAGAGTAATTGGATATCTTTAAAATCAGCACAAAATAAACTAAAACATAAAGAATATAATAAACAAATAATATATCTTACAGTAGCAATCCAGTATTTATAAGGATCTAAAACATTTTGCACCTCCACCTTCATTTCTGTTTTGATCCTATCTATTGGAGACAGACCCTTATTGTTCAAAGCTTCAACAGATACTGACTGGCCATCCAAAAGGGCTTTCTTCATTATATCTATTATAGTATCTCCATAACGAGCATTAATCTCATCAGGAGGTTCAATGAGCTCATCATATTTTCCACACCAGCCTAATGGATGTACTTTGGTGTTCGAAATGTCGCACCAGAAATCTTCCTCTGCACCCAAAAACTTTATTCTCAAGAGATGACCGCAAACCATTGTAATCTCAGCAATCCAATAGATATCTGGATTATTTTTATGACACACTTCAAGAAGCATACCCTGCTTGATTCCATTGTTAAGGCTGGATTCAACCTAAAAATACATTATGTTTTTATTTATTTTTAAGCATTTAACTGCTAGATGTTTAAATCTTAAGAAAAGTTTACTAGAAAAAAAATCCACGCGGATCAGGCAGCGGACGGGACTCGAACCCGCACCCTTCGCAATCCGGGCGAATGCACTGACCATTATGCTACCACGGCCCTATTAGCCGCGTCGAAATTTTCCTAGCGTTAAGCTGCAAGGCAGCGCCATCTCTTCGCATTGTGGGTTACCCACTGCGTGCGGCTAATAGGGCCGTGGTAGCATAATGGTCAGTGCATTCGCCCGGATTGCGAAGGGTGCGGGTTCGAGTCCCGTCCGCTGCCTGATCCGCGTGGATTTTTTTCTAGTAAACTTTTCTTTAGATCTAAAAATACATTGTTTGTTGTTTCATTGATATACCAAATGATATAGTAAATATTAATCTGTCATGTATCAAACATGAAGCTGAAACTAGCAGAGATACCCAGCATCGGTACTGTCCCAAAACATATTTCTGGCAACTGTTTTGGTTTTTCTCATTAATTTAAAAGTAAAAGGAAGCAATCAAATTGTTTTAACGAGAGAACCTAACGCTTTTTTTTTCAAGTACAGCCAAAGATAGCCTTTATTAAAAATATCGATTGACGCGACAAATAAATCATCCAGCTCAACTCAATTCAGAGAGTCCGAACCGGCCTTTTTGGTGATCAGAATGCAAAATCCAGTTATTTACGCTCCAGATCAGCGCGAACAAGCCACAGGGTGGGCATTTTTACCGTTGCGTGCTCCGGTTACGTGGCGGGAGGTCAGAGCACCCTGTGCAGTGGTAGTGGTATTAAACCAGGTTTAAATGACTGGAGTAAATTTTAAAATACCTATATCTGACGACCTCCGTGGTCGAGTGGTTTGTACGCCGGGTTTCATGGTGTCGCCGACTCGAGAGGTCCTGGGTTCGAATCCTGGCAGATGTTTGTGTGATGAATATGAGCATTTGTACTCCAGTCATGGATGTTTAATATGTATTTCTATATAAATATACTTATATAATGTACTGTATCTGTATTCTATCCATTACCCTAGTATCCCATAACTAGGGTTGCAACGATATATCGGAATATCGATAATATCGAGACCAAAATATCGATATTTATATCGATATTTAAAATTCACTGATATCGATAATATCGATATCGGAAATTCCAAAATATCGATATTTCGTAGACTAAATTTGATCACAATAATATCAATTAATTTACCTGCTATGACTATCTACATTGAATAATATCGAAATAACTATTGCTTTGAAATTGCAAGAGCTTATAGACGTATTAAAAAAATCTTGAACCCCAAGAAATATACTAAACTGGTGTGGATTCTGGCATGATTCTCTAAACCTAAAATTAAATTTGACAACAGTGTATCCTGGTCATTCTCTATACAGAATGAAAAGGAGAGACTGATGTTAAATTTAGTTTTAAGTTTAGATAAATAGCCAGAATCGACACCAACGTATATAGGTATAATCGTATACCTAATGGTAACTCATGCACTTAAATAAAATCCTTACCTCTCTTTCTAGATAATTGTCAACTACTGATTAATGGAAATTTAATATCATTGAAATATAACACAAAATAAAATTAAGAATCTTATACAAATCGTAATTTTTTTAAGCTCGCCAAGTCAAGAAAGTAAGATAGGTATAGTAATTTTGGAAGCTTTGGGCTTACCCTATTCTGAAGCCATGGGCACGCCCCTGATGTGTGGGTTTTACTAATACATAACAATTGTTTTTCATATGATTATCTATTCTGATTTTGGCTGCGTGCAAACATTTTAAACAAAATAAATATCTTTGATTCGAAATAGCTTTTGATTTGATACTTCTTACAGCGTTATAAAAATATAGAAATGTTGGAATGGCTGATACATCAGATTGGATATCGATATTTACCTGCCCACATTATAAATATCGATATTTCGGAAACTTTTGCTTCCTCTATTATAGGTTTTTGCTTTGCAAACTAAATACAAAGCAAAAAAAAAAGAAAAAAATATCGATATAGAGTTAATATCGAGTTAAAATGGTCGATATATCGGATATCGATATTTTCCTGACTTCGATATAAATATCGATATAAAAATCGATATTTCAAAAGACTTTGCATCCCTACCCATAACACAAGCCTTACAGTGCTTACTGGGGCTAGGCTAATTGGTGTGAGTGTTGTGGAAATATTTATTTATTTATAAGTACAAGTGTACTGTATGTGATGGTAAGAGATATTGTAGGAGAAAGAGACGAGCGCCCAGGTAGTACTGGAATGCAGGAGGTATTTTAAGACTAGGCTCACTGTCCACCGGAGCGGAGCGAGGCTGCGAAGCGAAAAAAAGAGGAAATATTAACCAATAGGATTTCACAAAATCTTCTTTCCTCTTTAGTGATCAGATTTTGTGCAATTATATTGGTGAAAATTTCTCCGTTTCCCCGCTTTGTAACCTCGTTCCGCTCCAGTGGACAGGCAGTCTAAGCACTTCTCATCTGCAGAGTCCACAGACACTACTGCAGCAATGTGGAGCACTGGGCTTCCTGAAGAAGCGGAGTGGCAGGACTGATGCCACAAAATAGGAGTAGCGAATTACGTAAATAGCCTGCCGAACTACAAAACAAGTTGACAAACCGAAATAGACCGAAGTTTTATATTTCCTAAAAGTTTAATTTGGTTATTAAGTCCACTTTGAGATATATATAGTAAAGAATCATTGCGTTTTACTGTTAATTATATTATATATTCTGTTTAGTAATACAACTCATTTTAAAAACCAACTATTTAAATGGAAATTATATTCCACATAGTTCTATCGAATTTAGTACCGGTAACTATGGAGACTTAGGGAGTGCAAATCACGATTAAAAAAAAAACGAGTGTGCTTATGACCACACGACTGAAGTGAAACTTCTTTAACTCCAATGATCTTGAAAGTCATAAACTTAACCTGAAGATTTATTGATAGGAAAAAACTACCAAACCGCGCTGGGTCCGTTATCACCCTCCAATCCGCACTGGGTCCATTATCACCCACTAAGCCGCGCTGGGTACGTTATCACTCACCAATCCGCGCTGGGCCCGTTATCATCCACCAATCCGCACTGGGTCCGTTATCACCCACCAATCTGCACTAGGTCCGTTTTCACCTACCAGTCCGCGCTGGGTCCATTATCATCCACCCATCCGCACTGGATCTGTTATTACCCACCAGTCCGTACTGGGTCCATTGTCAAAAACCAATCCGCGCCGGGTCCGTGATCACCCTCCAATCGACACTGGGTCCATTATCACCCACCAATCCGCACTGGGTCCATTGTCAACCTTCAATCCGCACTGGGTCGATTATCACCCACCAATCTGCGCTGGGTCCGTTATCACCCACCAATCCGCACTGGGTCCGTAATCACCCACCAATCTGCGCTGGGTCCGTTATCACCCACATATCCGCACTAGGTCTATTGTCACCCACCAATCCGCGCTGGGTCGGTTATCACCCTCTTATCCGCACTGGGTCTATTATCACGCACCAATCCACACTGGGTCCATTATCACCCACCAATCCGCACTGGGTCCGTTATCACTCACCAAGCACTAGTATTTTGATTCATGAACTATTCATGTATTTTGTGACGGGTATTGTTCATTGTTTACCGATGAGTCACCGGTTACGCGTTACGCGCGTAACGCAAAAATCGTCACACATTCGCCAGTTTACAAGTCAAGCGTGCCTAAAGTTTCACTTTAAAAACATTTTTGAGTAAAATCTGGATTATCCGAATTATCCTTTACAGGCTTCGTGGCCGCAATATACATTTATGGGTTTTATATGAAATTATTTGTATGAGAATTTATTGAAAAAACATATTTGTTTTCTTATGTCATCTCTGTCTGTATCAGTCTGTATCAATAAAATCATATTTTTTATTGAATAAGGTGCTTGATTTTCTATGGCTGAGCCGATGTACGATTAACTAAATTATGTGATTCAAAACAACTCTCTCAGAAAAAAAAGGCTTTGAAGCTCGATTTTAGTCAGGGGGTCGTTATTGATGAGCTTCAAGGCAAGCTTTTCAACGGACTCCAAAATCGCATGTAATATCGCGGGCTTAGCTAATCCGTCCCAAAAGTGCGATCAGCAATCCGTGCACCGGTGACCGAACTTGTGCTTGATAAAGTAACCGCAGCTGTTCCAATGTGAAATTTCGCCGCCTTTTGAAAGGACATTTAGTTTGAGGGGGTGCCGAAGGGGGGTCCTAATTGATCTTTTGACTCCATGTACGAGCCAAAGTTGAGTGTTGAAATGAACGTAACTCAAAACGGCCTGCTACGGGCACCGCCACCGGTTAATTTTGGAAAGTTCGTAGGATTTTCTTTGTGGCCTCTCTCCTCTTCGCGGTGAATAGACACGCCTGGGGCTTGGCAATGTTGAATTTGACCAGATTGGCATCACGCCGACCGGAGACTGCCTAAAGGGACGAGTTAAAGAGCTCGACTATGCTCTAACGGATTGTCTGGATTTCGGTCACATTTGCTAGTTGATTTTAAAATAGATATGTAGCTTTCTACAACTGTGCATTCCCAAAGGTACCCAGTTTAAGTTAATCGTCGATGAACAGTAAAAAAAAAGTATCGCTGGCTGAAAGTATCCACCCCTAAGGAACAGCGGCATTTATTGCCATTATTAACCTGACGAGCAGCCGCCACTCGTAAAGATCAACCCCTCATAGGAAATCAGCTATACAGGAAAACCGTAAGCTAAAAAGTAAAACTTATTCGAAAAGTAATCATGCCAGACCTGACCTGCTTTCGAAATATCGTGGGAAACGGCAAACTTCTCCGTATCTACGCAATTCACGGAGCGGTTTTTTCCCGCGTTTCCGGTGTTTTATTTAAAAACTTACGAGACCGCAGTTTTCTGCGGTCCCGCAGCCGCATCTGCAGGTGATCGCATACCCGTGCGCGCCCTGAAATCGCGTCATGAAATTTGCAATTGTGTTTTACCTACAATTTTACTTGTACGCGAGTTGCTGTCCCGCAGCCGCAGCAACCGCGGGCAAAAACCGCTCCGTGATTTCTTAGCCTTTTCACTACAGACGTGTAGCATACACTAGAGGACCCTAGTGAAATTTATATTGACGGTCGCTAAGAAGGTACACAAAGAGCTTGTTGTTCAAGACAAAATCTATGCTCTTATACGTGACTGATCTTATATTTGTAATCTTTACCTGAATATTACATAATGGAATAATTTTCTCTTACTGGATAAATTCCTTGCTATAATAAATTTTGTCATGAGTTGAATGTATGTAAAGGTAGAAGCTTCGCTTTTATTGTAATGACAAAGGGCTATTGCATGGTCCAATATAACATTTTATTTAGTATATAAAAATATAGATTTCAGTTGCAATTTGGAAGTCTGATAAAAACAAGCTTGTATTCAAATTATGGTTTATCTGGATATGCATTCACTAGGTGGATAAAACAACTAAGAACAGATTAGATTTATAAACATATGGAGGAGGAAAATAACAGTAATTTTCTGGAGTAAATATAATTTATATGTTAATTTCATTGTAATCAAAGAAAGCCATTCCTTTACTCAACCATAATCTATAAAATTCAGTACCCATATTTCACAAGTGCTAATAAAATAATAGTAAAGTTCATAAATATTGAAGGAAGATTAAATCCTGGTATTTAACATGAATTAATGTAAAAAGTACAGATTTTTTTACAATTGATTTTTTTTTCATACAATAAGGGTGGCAAATAAAGGATAGGACCCGCTATGACCCACCTGATGTTAAGCGTCTGTAGACATCTACAATACAAAAAATATCTGCTGCTTACCCTGACCCAATCCCCTACACCGTGGAACCTTACTCACCACCAGAAATACAACACCACCAAAAGGCATTGTTATTTTACTGTGACCTGTAAGGTTGCGGTTCTTGCCCCAACAGGCGCTCCAAATCGAGCAGAAAGCCCTCTAAGCCCTCTCCAAAAATATGCACATTCAAGCTTAGATCTTCACAATAGTTCAAAACTGATCTGAAAATCTATATTTTTTTTTATCAGACCTGCTCAACAAATAACTTCCCAACTTTACATGTTAGGGAGGTAGGTAGATCAGACATTTTTTTCCAAGATTTTATTTTATCACTTTATCTGCACAACTAATATGACTATGTAAATAATACTATAGTTTTTATTACTAATAGTCTCTTAGGCCAAGCTGCGAGCAGAAAGAAAGGGACCAACATAGTATAAGTTGCAGGCAGTTGCTGAAAATCAGCATTTTGTCTAATAAGGCAAAAACACTGCTGAGCTTTTGCCTATTTGCATCACTGTCACTCACTAATGATTGTAGTTCAGATTAGTTATTTAAAGAACTGTTAAACTTATAATCATTTATGGCTGCTTATTATTAAATGTATTAATTTGTGATGTAAATAAATTAATGAATTGAATTATAACTAAAACAGTTGTAAATTATTTTTTATTACTCATATTTAACACATTTCTAACTTTTTTCAAGTAATAAGGTATAAATTCATTGGAGACTATAGTACTCCTTTAATTTTCAATCAACTTGTCTAGTAGCTATCACTTTATGTTTAGTTTTTTTAGTTTATATATTCTTTACTTTTTTTTTCAACCCTGGTATCAAGCTGGCCTTTCTTTCTTGCAAAATATTCAATCATTTAATTTATTAAAATCATAATTAATCATCAATCTTCACAGCATAAAAAGTGAGTTGGTTTCACAGATAATTACTAAGATATAGGTAGCAAAAGAAATATTTTGCTTTTAAAATATTCACAAACATATGTTTGTTTAAGTTTATGGAAAATATTTGGAGATCTTTTATCTATCACATCAGCACCATTTAAATTTAGTTGTTATAAATATAAAAATCAAAATGGTAATGGTATTTTTACATTAACATTACATTTAAAGTGGATTTAAAGAAATTTCAGTCCCTCAATATTTAAGGATTTTTCGCAACTAATGAAATTGAGAAGTTGCGCTATAAATAGAACAGTTTAAAAACAAACTATGTTTCAGCGATTCTAAAAGAATAAGTAATAATACCAAAAATATATTACTTAAATAAATCAATAGAATCTTGCAATCGTTGAAAAAAATCGAAGAAAAAATTAAAATCCTGGTGTACTTACATGCGAAAATAATTCTTCGGGCACAGCCGTGGTTTTATTTGCTTCTAAATAATTCGTCCAATCGAAGTCCATGTTTAAAAATTAAGCAACAGTTTAATTGTTTATTTTATTACAATAAACTAAGCATTTTGAACTTACTGAGAAACTCCGAATTTTCTACAGTTACGTAGGTACTTAACAGAGTACGTACTTTTAATTTTTTATATGAGTAGATAGCAGTGTTGCCACAGATTTTTAAGCCGGTGTTTCCGTAATTTCAATGCCAAATTCCGTATGAAATCCGTATGGATTTTTTTTATCAAATCAAAGCAATCCGTATAAAAATTTGAACCTACCTTTGATTGATATCAATTTAGATATCAATCAAAGGTAGGTTAAGAGCACATCAAGAACAATTTTTGGCAGAAATATGAAAAGAAGAAAAATCTTTAAAAAACCTTGCTAAGTATTCTATCTTTAGAAAGTCAATGATATCGATTCTGGCATGATTCTCTAAACTTAAACTAAATTTAACTTCAGACTCTCCTTTTCATTCTGTATAAAGAATGACAAGGACATACATAGATACACTATTGTCAAAAAAAATAAAGTTTATGGTTAAAAAATCATTTTTTTTTTATTTATATATGAAAACGATTTTCAACCAATTTATTTGTATATAAATATTGAGTCATTTTGAATAAATTCTTAAGCTGTAACATAGCTTGTCTACTAATAACGCTTTCGTTTATGATAATAAATATTGCCATAGTATATATACAAAATTGAGGCAATGATAAACAAAATAGTAAATATCACTTTAGATATTTTAAACTTTTTCTTTCTTTCGTTGTCACGACCAACGATTTTTTGACGTGACAACGTCTTAAATTAGGTTGCGGCTGGGAGTCACTTATGAAAAAGTGTAACGCTCGGTAACGTTACGATGAGTCTCTCGTGTTAAGTTTAAGTTTACATGTACAATGTTTTAGTAAACAAAATATATTTCTATAGTTAAAATTTGTGCAATTCTTATTTTCATTCAATTCCTTGTTCCTATTGTGCAATTTAATTATATTCATATCAATAAATATTCTACCGAGAAAAAGACGTTGTCACGTAAAATCTTCGCCCGTAAAACCGACTTTACAGGCAACCATTTTTTTTTAAAAGTATATTAGGCTCCATGGGGCTCCCTGGAGTCATATGTCAACTTTAGCAGTGTTTTTGCCTGATCTAAAGTAAACTGCGCTGAAAAAATACAAATCACAAAATATGCTACGGATATGGACAAATCCGTATATATGGCAATACTGGTAGATAGTTCACACCATAGTCATAGTCAGAAGTTTGACAGCCTGAATGACAGATGGAACTGTTTTCTATGCATCTTTGTCTAACCTGTAGATTGTACATGGTAGAGCAGCTGCCGCAGTTGCAGTAAGTTGGGGAATATTACCTGACATCATGACAGAATCTATAATTTGTAAAATAATAAAAGAATACGGAATATTGTCTTTACCAGGACAAGAGCCTTTTAGAATAGCAAGGATCCATTTTAGCTTTTGCATAGATAATTGAGAATTTAAACCGGAATTATTTTGATTTTGATTACGGGACTTCCCGGGACTTCGGTGCGGGAAGACCAAAGGCGCAGGCGGCGCGTACGCATTTCCGCTGTGTTCATCCATCGCTGTCCGAGCGGTGACTGATGTGAGACTGACGGCAACGTGTCCCACGATCAGTTTACCATCGTCCATTCCGGACTGATGTAAAATATGAAAATATTTAAAACTCTGTCAGTCCGACCTATCAGTCCATCAGTCAACGCATTACACGATCAGTCTGGGGTCAGTCTTACCAAACTGATGGACTGAACTGATGCCAAACTGATCGTGTAACCCACCTCTAATACAATCTGTGGGGCTAGTTAGACGGGTAGGAAGACCAGTGTTAATTAAAGAAAAAATTATATTAAAATTTTGTTTATTTCATACTCATATTTTAACTTTAGTGACCTTTATCTACCTATATTCCCCTATCTACTCACCTGTTGTTCCTTGTTCTTCGCAAATCTTCCTTTATTTTTATTGTTCATATCGTTTCCTACTTTTTACCATCTGCAACCACCACATATCCAAATATCAACTATACATATTCCGCTCCTTTAGTCGTTTATTTGTTACCCAATTACATCAAGCTTGCATTTGGCAAATGCTTAAAGCATGGGCAAATGGCAACATTAGCCGTCATCCGATAATACAAGAAGAAAATCTAGTTTCTGCAATGTACGTACTCTGTGGTCACTGTTGCCAGGTCTCTTGATTTTACAGGAGATCTTCTGTTTTTTCGGAAATTTCTCCTGTTCTTTTACATGAATCTACTGTTTCTCTTAGAATACGACTATCTTTTTTAAATTGCATGTTGAGTTGTGTTTTTAGTTATTAAAAATTTGAATAACTTTAATTATAATAAAATAAATATGTTATTGGGTAAAAAAACGAGCTTCTGTGGCTAAAACCGAATGGTTTTACTGATTTGTATATCTGAAAATAAATAAATAACGGAATCCTTATTCTCTTTTGTTTTAATATAATTTTTTTTTCCAGGTGGTGTTTTGACTGAAAAGTTAGAATTACAACAAAATACTGTAAAGAAATCGAAGATACTAAGCAAAATAAGCTTACCGGTAATTTTTATTTTTATATAAGTATTTTTGTCTATTATAATTATTTGATAACTTTATTAACTTAACTTTAAAAAAAATATCAGAAATATGTTATCTATATTTTAGAGAGCACCTATCCTAATCATCTTTATTCTTTTGTTAGCTTTTTTCTTAAACTTACCTCTATGGGCTTTAGTCATGTTTTAGTTAATAAGTAGACATTACATAATGAAATGAACCTTCCACTTAGTTTTCTTATACTAATAATAATTAGTTAAAAAAAAATAAGAGTTTTCACCTCACAGTGAAACTAATTTTATTGAAATGCTTTTTTTCAGCATCTGCAATAGATCAAAGTGTAACTAACTTAAAAAAAGTGGTGAAGAAGCTAACTGAAAAGAATCTCAAATACACAACAGGGCTAAAGAAAGCAATGAAACTTTTATGATAGATCCGACTTGTAGATTTTTTATATATAACTGGTGTGGTGAGGTAAATAAATTATTAAACGGCACCATAAAGCTGCGTAATTGTACAAATTTTAAAGATGATATTAAAAGAATGTCATGTAAATATTTAATAATAAAAATAATTGATTTATAAAAGTTCTTTATTTATTCTAACAGACTGTGTTAAAGCTACATTTTTAGACAATTATCAAAAAAAAACTGTGTAAACGAATAGTAGGTAAATTATCTAATAATGTAGCTTTAACACAGTATGTTTTTTTCCTTTTTTTATATTAATAATCGCATCTAAAGCTGCCGGTACCGGTTCAGTAGTACATGACTTGTGATTATGTCATGAATCGCTAGATGGCGCTGTATGCTCAGGTTAACTGATATCTCTATTACTAGTATATAATGTACTCTATGGAGTTTTTGGCGGAATTTCATCGAGTACGGTTGGCGTCTTACTTTAATTATTCTTAAATTCGTTCATAGTGGATATTGTGAAATAAATTTAGTGTGATTTTGTGTTACAATCGTCCGCGCAACTGAAGAATTAGTGGAATCTTTAAAATATAAGCTATTCCGGTCAAGTGGACGTGAGAACTTTATTGTAGTGTTGACTACCTCACAGAAGCATATCGGAACAGCCAACTCGATACATTTCGTGTCAAACACTCCAAGTAATATTAGAATGAGTCACACCAATATTCTAATGTAAAAAAGAAAATTAAAATAACTTAGGACTTGGCTGTATAGGCATTGTTTCCTTTGCCTTCCCTGAAAAAGGGAGAATCTTAAATAAAAAAAAATGCAGAGCATGACACATTTGTATCCGACACAATAAAAATTCCTACCTTATGTTACTCTTTGTTCCTACCTATCAAGTCTACCTTCGTAAACATATTGTGATAAAAGCTTTCAATTCAAAGGATAAAAGTTATCATCGATATATTTTTTTTTCTATTATTAATAGATATTACTTGCTATTTTTGAGTACCTTACAAAAAGTGGAATACATACGATCCAATTATGAGAATACTTTCTCTTGTGAATAAGTGACTATTGCGACATCAACAATGAAAAATTTTGGAAGTGAAATCTTATTTTTATCAGCAAACAGTTCTAACAACACTGATGATGAAGGTTGCATGCTGTTGAATACGACTCAAAATGTAATTATAACTGCAGCTTACAATGGTATTCCGCAAACCCTTATCCTGAATTTGATATCATGGTCATGCCTGATATTATTGTTTTCTGTTTTACGGCGAACTGCGTGGAATTATGGACGAATGGCTCTCGTACAACGAACAAAGAGTCGTTGGACCAATTTATTTTATCGCGGAGGAGACGGCGACGCTCTTGTCGACAGACGTAATAGCAACACTGAGCCCTTGAACATTGACGAAGGTTTCATGGCATGGTTACCAGCTGTTTTTAAAATCAGCCGTGAACAAGTTTTGGCAAAATGTGGGCCGGATGCTGTACATTACTTATCCTTCCAGAGGCATGCTATAACACTCATGTTCATCATTACTCTGACATCTATTGGCATAATTTTGCCAATAAATTTTAATGGCTCAGGATTACAAGTGGATGCTGGAGCATTTAGTAAAACTACACTTACTAATGTTGCTGGACGATCATCTTGGCTGTGGGTGCATACTTTGATCAGCATTGCCTTCCTGCCTGTTTCAGTTTTGATCATGAGAAGATGCACTGGGCGTAAACCAATGCCTACTTCTTTGACCGGAACTATTATGATAACAAACATATCAAAGGCAGACAGAAATGAGTCTACAATAAGAGCATTTTTTTCACATAATTTCCCACATATTCAAATAATTGATCTACGCTTAGCCTACAACATCAACAAATTAAATGAGGTTCAAGAACAAAAAGAAATGGTGACTCAGGCTCTTGTGTATAGTGAAACATATTACAGAAAGACAGGGAAACGTATCACTGTGAAAACAAGCATCTGTGGACCTGAAGTGGATGCCATAGAATATTATGGAAATGAAGAGAAGAAACTAAAAGATGAAGCCAAACGATGTCGTGCAATGGTGCTCAACGATCCTCTTGGTATTGCTTTCTTAACCTTACCATCATATCAATTAACAGAACATGTCATAAGTCATTTTAGTTTACATCGTGGTTGGGTTTTGCAACATGCAACCAATCCATCAGACATTATTTGGGAAAATTTAAATGTACAACCAGGAGTATGGTATGTGAAAGCTATTATTATTAACTTCTTTCTATTTATTGTATTGTTTTTCCTTACAACACCAGCTTTTGTAGTAAACCTTTTTAATACTTTAGTTGTGAAGCCCGATTCGATGAATAAAGTAAGCACTGTAATTTTTGAATTTTTGCCTACATTGCTTCTTTGGACTATGGCAGCTGTAATGCCAGCTATTGTAGCATTCTCTGATAAGTTTCTTTCACATTGGACGAAATCTCAGCAAAACTATTCCATCATGACAAAAACTGTTTCATTCTTGCTACTGATGACTTTGATACTGCCTTCTTTAGGACTTGCTAGTGCAGAAGCATTTGTAATGTGGACTTTACACCATGAGAATGATACTATGAGATGGGATTGTGTTTTTCTACCTGACAAAGGTGCATTCTTTGTGAACTATGTCATAACTTCTGGTTTCATTGGTACAGCTTTGGAATTAATACGTTTTCCAGAATTATTTTTGTATGTTTGGTACTTATTGCAGTCTAAATCAAAGGCAGAGAAGAGTTATGTGAAGAAGGCTATTTTGTATGAATTTCCTTTTGGTGTCCATTATGCATGGAGTTTGGCTATATTCTCCATAACTATGGTGTACAGTCTAGCATGTCCACTAATTGCTCCATTTGGATTGGTATATCTGATGCTTAAACATGTTGGTGATAAACATAATCTGTATTTCGCCTATGGCCCTAGTGACATGAGTGGAGTTGGCGGAGGTAGAATACATTCCACAGCTGTTAGCCTTATTCGTGTGTCTGTCTTGCTACTATTGATCAATATGGCGGCATGGGCCGGACTTCGGTCA